CTACAGCTATAGGAGAGGACAGGAAGCATCCGAGTGACAGCCTCTGCTGATGGGAACCCTGTCCCTGGAGAGCGGGCACCTGGAGATGCTGTGCCACAGACAGGTAAAAGAGGACACAAATTGTATGTACCTGTTACGTGCCCAAGGCCACAGAACCACTCACGGCTGCTCTGGATTCAGCGCAAGAACTAATTCTGCCTCTTTCAGTACAAGAACTAATTCATCGTGAATGTTTCACCATGATTGCCATTTCAGGAAACAGGGCGAGAGTTTGATCGAGAGGCCCACTCAGGCTGTAACTTAGCACCTCTACTTCCACTCTGGAGTCCAAACGGCCAAGGCAGAGGGCAGATCCCCCTGGCTGCCCTCTTCCCTCACCGCAGCCCGAGCCCAAGCACACGCAGCATCCTCCCACACTGGGTACCACACGTGGAGAACCAGCATAAGCAGCGAGCAACAAGCTGGGGAGCAATTCAAAGCCTCCGGGCATCCCTCTTCCATCCCTGTGAAAAGTCCGGTCTGCAAGACTCAGCATATGGTTTACCACGAGAAGGACCGTCAAAAGGCAGTGTGACTTTTTGTCTCTTTTGTCACGATGTCAGAAGAACTTGGCTGTACGTTACATGGGCTGGCCTCTGTCAGCAAAGCCTGATCCAGAAAGTAAAAGGCAGCACTTCTCTTTTGTAAAGTCAATTACATCAGAGGTCATCATTAGCTCGTCATACTCGGACTGATGCCAGGAGTTTTAGTTAAAACTACTGCCAAGAATTTTCCATTTATTTTTATTATTAATAAATTATAAGGGGATAATCATGCTCAAAGGCAAGCTTCTGGTAGGAAACATTTTTCCTCTTACTATACACAGATGTTTTCTCTGCTTGTTTCTGACCTCACACTGGGAAGACACCACCCTTCCTTGCTTTCCTTAACATGGTGGTATTTTCCTCATATCCAAGGAGCACGATCATTTTGAAGCCAGGAGAACTGCAGGATAAGCCTTGTTGTTTTTCTAGGAATGGCGAAAGGTTAACAATATTTGGAGGTCTTTAAAATAACTTTAGCTGCTAAAATTTTTAACATAAATAGCTTTTCTCCCTCATCCATTTCTCAGAGAGCGCAGAAGACCATTTGGATAAACAAGCATTCTTGTAGCTGCTTTTTTATTTTTTAATTTAAATTGACCAACCAAGTATTTCCAACGGTCTTAAATGAACCAGGTGGGGTGGCAAGGAGAAGCAGATGTAACTCTCCTGGGTCCCACTTCACACTGCTGGAGGCTGGCCTCTGCTGAAACCGTCATGAAAGATGCCCTTTTTATCCTGACTGTGATATAAAAAAGTACTCATAATGAACTGGTTCCGTACTAAGCTATATGATGATAATTTTCAATTAATATAGCCCTATAAAGATAAAAGGCTTTGGGAGTAACGACTAGTCGGAATATATAAAAGCCTTCAACACAGAAAGCCTGCTGTCCGCTTTAAAACCTGCTGATTCACCTCCCCTCTAGTGCTTTAGTACTGCATCTTACACCCTTCGGTGAATAAATGAAGACACAACAGAAACACGTTGAAATCTCTAAAGCCATGTAAAACCCGAAGGCATTAAAATTTATTAAATGATGCAATAACAACAGAATTCTTTATTTACAATAGCATTATTTAACATCAAATAAGCAAATAGCATCAGCAAAGCAATATTAACTTGCATAAATGTATTTAAAATTTCTCTGAATATATCTACCTTTGCATAAACTGCTCACACTAGAAATACAAACATCAATGCAGGTGAACAAAGTGATGTTCAGAGTCAACTCCGTTTTGAAAATAAATCACAACCTGAAACACTGTAAGCTTTCTCCTGAAGAACCATAGTTTATATATTGCTTAATTTTACCCTTGTATAATCTTTTCATATACACACATCTCAGATGCAACTTCATGATGAACTGTACAAATAAAACCCACAAATGACATAAAGGGAAAAAATTAAATGACAGTAAATGTTTGAAGAAATGTGTCCATCATCTCTATTGAACAACATAAAGATTAAGTGATGATGCACTTATTCCAAAATTGTACACAATTCACTATACAAATATAATACATCAGACAGCTATGTAGGAATATACAAGACTTAAAAACAGATCTAAGGCATTATGCTAGATTTTAGCATTTTGAGGTTCTTGCACATAGCTTTTACCTGTAGTAAGAAACTTAAAAGATTTTGTTTTAGTCTACAAAGAAACACCAGGGAGAAAATTCTAATCAAAATCAAAGCCACTACAGTAAATTTTCTTTTGTGCAGAGAATGCTTTTGCTCTTAGGCAGCATACTACCATACAAATACTAGAAAACTTTTAAATTCACACCAACAATTAATGGCTTAAGTTGCATTTCAAAACTGATTGTGTATCTTTGGGTTCTGCAAGTGGAGCTGTGCCACCCATTTCATCTGTTAAGCCCATATGAATTCCGCTTTTAAACAAAGATTAAAAAATGTATTGTATAAACTGCAAAAACATTGCTTTTAATTAATACAGGCCCAAAGGGATACTGGTGTGGGACAATATTTTAAAGATCGAGTACAAATTAATTCATTGTAGCAAAACAGCTCACTTCACTTTTTAAACTTACCACATTACATGAACATTTAAACAGGTCGTGTGACCATGTATATATGCTTATTTTTCACATTATGCGCCTTTCACATTTAGTAATGTAAGTAGAACACTGATTAATTGTTCTGTTAAACAAAATCCGAGTACTTTCTCCGACAAATTTACTGTATACAGGATGAAAAATACTGATAATGAAGGGAACTGATTTGGCTTTTTTGTTTCTATAGTGATCAATATGATCAGAAGATTCCTTCACTCACTTTTCTCTTTCATTAGTTAGAAGACGACTAAAGTCACGATGAACCTAAACGGAGCCAAAGTGATAGGTACAATCTCCTTTCTGTCAAAATGGCAATGGATGAAGAAGTATCATAATCACTACAGATGATAAGGGTTTGCAGGTCTGTCATGAAACGGGACAAATTTAAACTATTTTGTCCACTGTGAAAAAGAATAATCTATCTGCAGAGGCTACAGTTAAGAACCAAAAAAGAATGGAATAGAAACAAAATTATTTTAAAACTCATTTACACTTTGTGGTGCATGAAGTTAATTCCTTCAAACATATGCATTTCTTACATAAGTAATTTCTTGTCAGGTATACAAGGCAAGTTTAACACAAATGTCGTCGTAGTAAGGAGCCTGTGGAGCTCAGGCCTGACAGCTATTTTGGTTTCCCATCAGCAGGTAAGAGGATGGCTCAGCTGACTGAACATTCCATTTGACTTTGGTAACAGAATGGTGACAGCTGAAAAATGTTGCTTCTCCAGAACGATGGCACTGCCCTCCTTAGGGACAAGCACAAGAGTACATTTCCCGGGCTTTCATCAAAAGCCTTCTACAGAAACAGCCTATTTCGAACCACCTTTATCATATTTTCCTCGGCCTTAATACAGAATAGCTGCTATTTTATTTGAACTCCCACCTGAAAACCAAAACAAATTAAATGGCAACAGAATAAACCTTTCACTCCCAAAAGGCGTGGCTGATGAGATATTATAAAATGCATTGCATTTTACATGACATCAAAAAATCTGCATTTGGGTTAGAAAGTTTGTGGATTGGGGATCAGCAGAAAGAAAACAGAGGTCAAAAACATCAATTTCTTGATATTTAAAGTCCTCAGAAACTGATGTCAGTTTAGTAAAAGATTATTCCAACCACAGTGGGCAAGAAAAAAAGCCCCACCCCCTAACAGTGGCCTGCTTAGTAACAGTTTTTCTAAGATTTGTTACGAAAGGATATAAACATACAAAAATCAATAATTGGTTCCTACAGTGGCTGCATATAATATAGGTTAGTTAAATGACATTATGAGCAGAATCACAAGGTTTAGAAAATGAGAAGTCTCAAGCCTACAAATTAGGTCTAATCAAGGCATTGTGATCCTTTACAAAACACTTTTCCAGGAGACACACACGGCTAAGAAGATATCTAATTTAATACTGAAGTACCTCATTTGGAATCAACTTCACAACATGTATATCTCACAAAAATTATACAAGTAAAACACTTAAGTTTTCAACTTAAATTATTGCTTGTTTACATATAAACTGGATTTTAGGTACCTTACAAAACGTCCTCGTAGTCCACACTGCTTCAAAATAATCAGAAACACACGATAGTGGTGAAGTCTGTAGTGATATCTGCTATAGGTATTACAGGAATCGTGATTTTCCCAGCTAAGGGGATGGGAACCAGAAATTATCATGCTTTAAAACAGGTATCTTGAGCTCTTTGATATTATGCACCAATTCTGCCACTACCATAATCAGTACATGCATTACCATCGAAATTTGCTGTTCAGCATCCAGTAACAGGCCGTCCAGATTGCTGGAAACACACCTAGGGAAATAAAGGGGTAACCTGTTTTCTTATTCTATTAGAAAGAAGAGGAAGATGACAGAGGTCAGGAGAGCCAGGTAAAAAAATCAGGATTTGCTGATTGTTAGGAATTTAGTTAAATAAGAATGTAACCAACTTGTATTTTTGGATTCATGACTTGCATTATAAACACTACCACAAAACCCAATTGAAACGCCCCTTATAAACAGCCCTCTCACAGGGTAATTTTCATCTGTTTTACAACTTCAACCCCATTCAAAATTGGTCTGTATAGTTTTCTGCATCGGTTCATCTTCTCTGACTTGTCAGTGGAACGTGCTCGTTGGAGGTCTCTGTATGTACCAGACGTTGCTTCTACACCCTCCTCCATGCCTCCTCTCCGCCCCAAAATGCAGGCCTTAGTCTAAAACACCAGTTTTCAGACAGAACTGAATCCTTTGCACCAGACTAAGTAAGCCAGGGAAAACAAAGCAAAAAAAAAAAAAACAAACCCCAAGGTCTAGAACTAAACAGAAACAGAACAAGAGCATGGTTGTTTTTCCTTAAATACATACATTTAAATACATTCAATCTGACATGGTTTATGAAAATTGCCTGTCAACATTTACTTCGCAGGAGAGATCTAAGTTGCACTAAGGTGAATGCAGTGAACAGACTGAGCAACTGTCTGTACGCTAGCTTCAGACTGTCAAAGAAGAGGCTGCTGGTCGGCAAGGACCGCCCGGCTCCCCTCGGGAAGGCAGGGCTGGCTGAGTCCTGGCGGCGGCAGGCAGCTGCCACCGCCGCTGGCAGCTCAGCTGGGTCACGACAAACAGACGCAGCTCTTCAAACCGGTAAGGATTTGGGGCCGTAAGCCCAGTCAGCTGAAGAAAGGAGCAACCGAACCACGCTCAGGGTCAGCAGTATTTCTGCAAAAAAAAAAAAGGAGAAAGTGGAGAAAAACAGATGAATTCTTCCTTCTGGGAGAGTGAAGACGGATAGGTCAGTGAGAGCTGGATGTTGGACTGCAGCATCCGCCGCCAACCATACATCGGTGTATTACTTTAAAGCTGAAATATAATTGGAATTTATAAAGCTAGACTATTCTTTGTGCACACTGATACAGTTGACCTGCGATTTAATTCCAGTGATATCAGTAGGGGTTTAATTTCACTGCGTTCTTAGGTCCAGTTATGATGGATATTATAACAACTCAGGATCATCTACCTCTTGTAGACTCCAGCTAAAGGTGCAACAGTATGCTTTAAGAGAAGTCTTATTCTTGAATTATGTACAAAAGCTCTCTGTGTTATGCTGCACCACCCTTAAAGGAAACAGCTGCCATGGTTCACTTTCCCCTCCAAGAACCCTAACAAAAAAGGAATAAAGAAGTAAAAAAAGCTTCAGCTACTGATCCCTAGAGATGTTCTTTACTTCATACTTACTACCCTTCCAGTGTCCTTACACAAATGCAGTACAAACTGCTTTCAGCTGAGTTGATTATCTTGTACTTTCTTATTTAAAAAAAAACCCTCAGGATGTGGTTTTCGCAGTTGTTTTAAGTCTGTCCCTTCCAGTGACTGCAACCCGTGCCTCTCTGTCTTCCTCCCCTTGCAAACTCCTGCTCCCATGGGGCTCTGTGGTCACTCAGGTCAGAGCTAATCCAGCCAAAGCCCCTTTTTCTCCTCCCCTGGGTTTGTTTTTTCACTCGTACCCTGTGGCTCCGGCAGCGGGGTGGCTCTTAGCTCACGGCCTCCTGCCGTGCACGAGGACGGGCCCGTTGGCGTGGGACGGCGCTGGCAGCAGGGCCGTTTTCTCACCGCTCCATGTGCACGCTGCCAGGCTGCCTGCCCACGTGTTGGACTTGACCACACTTTCCTCTGCAATCGCACAAGGCCCAGACGTGGATCTTTATTGACAAATAAAAGTCCCAGCTGGTGCAGCTGGAGCTCTCGGGGGGCAACCGGCCATGAGCACGGTCCGGACGCCAGCACAGGGAGTCCTGCTCCTGCTCCTCCTCGCTCCATCACAGGACACGCACATCACACTCACATCTCTCATCTCCTGACTAATACGGACAAGCTAAACTTTGGCTTCTCTTCCTAACATGTTGAGAGGCAGTTCGGGGACCCTAGTAGAGGTTTTTGATCATAAAGTGTGGAACAGAAGTGAAAATCCAAACATGTTTGTATTTTCAGAGCGGACATTTAGCGAACACTATCTCTACAGAGATGCTAAATAAATGCTTCCATTATGCCAGTGACTTGAAAAAAATTAATGCACTGCAAAAGTTGGGTTTTTAAAAATAATTTAACAAAAATTTGAGTGACAAGGTGATAAAATACATAAAGGAGGGAATAAGATAAAGAAGGCACGAGTGTACCCCTAGAAAAACATTCCTCCACCCCTTTTTATTTAGATATAACCAAAGCAAACAGGACTTTGAAGAAATATGCCCAGTTATTATTTCCAGGCTGATTGTGAACATGGGAAAAATTGCTCAGAATAACTGCCACGGCTGATGCATGCAACTTCAGAGTAGAGAAGTAATCCAAAAACCCCGAAGATCATTGACTATAAGGTTCCTGCTACACTGTATGAAGTTAAACTGGATGCCCCTCAAAAACCTCAGCTACAAACAGTATTCTTCAGATATTTAATTTTAAATAGGAGCAGGTTCAAAATTTTCTTTTACCATGTGAAATTAGTTAATACAAGTATGTTCCAATAATGGCAAAATAATATATTAAACTGTTCCAGTTGCAACTATTTTCAGCTCTACAAATGAAGGGTACTTTGTGCCTTGAAAGAGACAGAAAATTTGCTGTCCTCTATTTACTTTAAAAACAGCTTCTCTATTAAATATTAGTATCATCCTTGCAAGTCTTAAGCTGTTGAAGTTTTATCCTTAGCATGTTAAAACAAAGTGAAACAGTATTAAGCAAACAAGTTAAAACAGTAAATGTATAGATCTGACATTCACAGTTGTACAGATTTCAGCAATAGCGTGTTATTTCCTGGTTACTCAACTCCGAACAGAACCAATCCCTTCAAAGGATACAGTTGTTGAGATGTACCTTATGAAACATTTTAAAAAATCTTAAATTTGCCAGAGGAGTTTCTCAGTTTCTAATTTGTCAGACAAACTTCTCAGCTTTCACGTTATAGCCACAACTGCCAACATTAATCCCCTCCTCAGCTTTCTAGTTATACAACTTGTGCTTTTTTTTTTTTTTTTTTTAAAAAAAGCTACATAGGAGTAGTTTATAGCACAGACCTATGAAAATAGCAGTTACTTAACCTCTACAAGAGTTCAAAGTTCAGTAAAAGGTATTTATAGTGTATGTAAACCATCTACATTTTCATTGACAGTCAGAGCTACATTAGCAGAATAAATGTAAAAACACAGTGTAGTCTGGTTTAAGAAGTTCCTTTTCCACAGGGGAGACAAAGCTGCTCTCTGTGCACAGACACTGTCCATCACATTGTCAAGGCACCAACCCCGTTATTTTAATTTTAAATCTCACAGATTCCCTGTCCAAGTCCTGCCACTTGTTTCCTCCACCTGCACCCTCTTCCGTGACTTCTTTCCAGCCTCTCTCGTATGTCTGGACCTTTTCTGTCACATCCACTCTCTCTGCCTTCTCTAAAGCAGAACATACTGCATCTCTTTATTGAGCATCAAAGTGACCATGACATGACTGCAGAAAACCCTCGCTCCATGCACAGATTCTTCAAGCTCAGAGACAGGCACCTGTCTTTTCACATGAACCATGAAGGTGTGGAAAGAATCAGCCTCCAAGAAGTTTTAAACACATGCGTGTGCAGAAAAAAAAAAAAAAAAAAGAGGGATACAATAAACTACATGCACAGTTACTTCTTCCTCAGTACTTCCACATTCTTCGTTTTCATTAATCTTGATACATTTTGAGTCGATTTTTTAAAATTTCCCTTATTATTCAAATTTCTTTAACAGTAGAAAACTTTAGATTTTGCCACTGGATTCAGCACGAGAGGAAAATGGGTTTAATTCCATCTTTCTGATCTCAACACCGCATGCAAGGAGGTGACAGCAAACAGTGGTGCGCGGGGCGGACCCTCGAGCAGGTTATCGGGCGGCTCCTGTGGGAACCACGGCTTAGATCTGCCCGTTTCGGTTACAACGCGCAGCTGAGGGAACGGGCGATTTAAAGCCTCGTCCCGAGCGGGGGAGCCGGGAGGAGCCGGCGGGGGCAGCGGCGGCGGGCGGGCCGCGGCCGCAAGATGGCGCCGGCCCCGCGGCGCTGAGGGCCCGGGCCCGGCTGCCCGCGCAGGTTGCTCGCCCGGCGGGGCGGGGCGGGGCGGGGCGGGGCGGGGCGGTGCCGGCTGCTGCCGTTGGGCTGGGCCCGCACGGCACAGCCGCGGTGCCAGGCGGAGCACGCAGGGGCGAGGCGACCTCGCCCGCGGTCGAAATCACGCCGGGTCGCGAAATACCGGGCTTCTTGCAGGAAACTTTATTTAGATGAAGATTGTTTCCATAAAAACAAAACAACCAAAAAAAAAAAAACCAAACCAAAACCAACCTTCCGCTGAGGAGGGGCACATAAAAAAGCACTTCATTTACTTGGCCACAAGCCAAGAACTCCACAATTTCCTTCAGTACCGCTACTGTCTGGAATACAAATCGGTTTTGACCTCAGCAAACGCTAATTACCCTGTCAGTTGGAAATTTGTGTGAAAATTAGTTCAGTTCTACCACTCTTCTCAGAAGCGGCACTGTATAGAAAGTAATAAATTAAATAATTCATGAGATTTTTGCCCTAAGTATAATACAACGAGAAGTAGAAAAACACTTAGGCGGGATGAAACATGAAATGGGTTAAGCATGCAGCAGTGCAAATTTAAATAAACAGTAAGTCTTTCCCATTATCAGCAAATAGTTATATAATTGCTCTGTAAAAAGCAAATACAACTATACATAAGTCTGCTGAATGTGACTGTTTGTTAATTCAATAATGTAATGTGTTCTGTTAATGTAAATGTATTCTGTATTATTCACCTCAGTAACGCTAGTGGGATCTAAACAAGAAACTTAATACAGATGTCGCCAAAAGCAGAATTAAAAAAATTAATTGCAAGCAACTTAATTACTATTACCCTGGGTACTGTCAACTTCGTATGTAAAAAGATACCATACCCATCCTAGACCACAGCGTATTCACAGATCTGTGCCTCTGTATGCCATTTCTTACCCGTGTTGCATCTCCGTCCTGCTTTATCATATCCATTCCAGGCAGCTGGTTTGGAAAAAGATTGCCTCCCCTCATAGCAGGATCATTAACCTATTGGTAACAAGACGTTAAGGAGAATGAATTAAAAAATACGTTGGGAAGGGGTCTGGGAATTAAAAAGAAGCCTTATAAACAACTACGCTACCTGCATATACCAATATCCACTTTTGAGATGATGTTGCAATTGGGGAAGTGGCTATATAGCCGAGCACCCTTCTTGCGCAGCATGTGTTTGACTCATATTATTCTGCTTCACAGTCAACAACAAAGATTTCATTCTTGATACTATGACCCTTGTGCGTATTTTACAAAGCAGGCTCCATAAATTAGGTCAGTGTTATTTGAAGAGGACATGCCTGCTATGAAAGTCCTGAAAGCAGAAATATGTAACTACTTTCCAAACCTCAGTAACACACAGCTTTTCTGCTTGCAAACCACCATACCATTTTTTCAAAGCCTGACTTAATGGCACTTATTTTTCTGCTTGTAAGCAATGGGAGGAAGACAGCATTAAATGGAAAAACGTGCAGTGGCGTGCTTTCCTAAAGGGATGGTCTCAACAATTTTCTGAACGCAGCCACGGGAAAGTATTGAAGCTGTGTATTTCTGCACAACCAAAGGGTCTGTCATGCTTAGCTATGTGGAAAGAGTGGCTTGCCAAATTTACAGCACTGCTTTCTTAATCAAAGGATTAATCTCACTGTGTAGGAACTGGTACAAAACATAAAACACAGCCTTTCATGGTTCTGAAATATTAGAAAAATCCAGCTTTCCTTAGAAGTTTTACAAGGAAATAAACCTCTTCCTAGGGACCCTTTGTTGACTTAGTTCTCTCTTTTACTTCCCTCAGACTAGATGGATGTGATAATAGTGAAGATATGCCCCTCCACGTTTTGCTGGAAGGAAAAAGATGTTTCCCGTGTCACCTGCCCTTTAGGAGACTCGTGTTGCCAAGGAGAGGAGATTCTGCCACTGCACTACCTCACGTCAGCTACAGCAACCTGCTGCAGCAAGGGGGGAAGACTGTCTTGAATTTACTACACCAACATCTTCTCATTTCAGGTCCTTCTGACTGTTGTTTGTGTTGCTATTCACTGATTTTGCAAAATGTCGCTAAGCTAAATGCAGTCACATGCAACCACCTAAAGAGATGGTTTTGAAAGCTGCCAGAGACAAGACTGCAGTTCAACTGGAAAGGCTAAAACCTTAACTATTTTTGCAATAGGAATTTCAACCCTGAAGAAATCGATTAAGTGCTGCAAGCTTCCTCATGATGATTTCTTCTTACTACTACAAATGAGCAGATTTTAAAATCTGAATGTGAAAATTTAAATCAGAAGGGAAGAGAACCACACTATTTTGTTCAGAAATAAAGAAATTAGACAGTTTTGCAGTTTTATCTACATGCATTTGACTAAGCAACAGAATCCACGTTTGCAAAGTATTTCCTCCTATTGATCAACATTCATTGGAATGCACAGGTACAAATGCTTTTCTGTTTGTTCAGTAGACAAAGGAAGGAAAAAAAAAAAAGCCAGAAATAAAAAAATAGTATACTGAATGCACAGCAGTTTTAGAACCAAAAGATAACTGCATGATTTGCATCATGGCAGTTAGGACAGGTACAGAAAAGGATGGTTCAGTGACGTTCCTATCACAGAATCTCTTTGCCGGTGATGATGCAAGAATCCTGACTGTCATGGTATCAGATAAAAAAAAATCTGCTGTTTTGCTACGTTCACAAGTCCTTGAAACAAAACACCCCACATTCACACATGCTTTCGACTTTTTCGACTGCAATAACAATTCAATCAGAAAAGTGTGGAGAAGGACAAAGACATGGAAAGGTTTTTATGATTTTCTAGGGACAGGTCAAGTGGTGTTATCAGATATGAAATCTGACTAAAACAAGACAGAAGGTATTTTACAATTCCTTTGCAATTAAGCACATTAATACAGCCTCCTGTTATCAAAGCAGAATTATATACAAGGTGTCTAACAAGACAAGTTTCCTACCACTCCAGAGCTCCTTTCATCCAGTATGCTGAACAAAATCAAAATACTGTTTCAAGATAACTCTTTGTAGACGCCATGATAATTTTGGCCTGGGGAGTACTGCCCTGTGAGGATTAATAAACATCTACTCTGAGTGGACATCTAGAAAGGGGTTTATTTCATAAATAAGAAAAGCCTCTTCTCTTGCATAGGTTTCAAATTGCTTCTCTGATAGCTCAGTGCATTACATGGATCCATGCTGCAAAATAAGTTAACAGGCAAAAACACGGCAACAGTCCATTGTGCAAACAAGAAGATGAGGACAAGGACACACTAAGTTGTGTGAATGGTGAAACACCAGAAGGTTTAGACTTTCTTGATGCCTGGAGAAGCTGTTTTGGACAGAAGGAACCTGCAGACCTGGCAGCTAGCATTTCAGCATTCCTGGTAGCAGCCTCCTCAAAGACATACAAGTAAGAGCAGCCTCAGGAGATTTAATGTAATTATAAGGGAGAAGATGATAATGAGACAAGGTCTGATCCTTTAAGTACATAAAAAGAGTCCCTAACCATCATAATAAATAGCAAGCCCATTTTGGCCATAATCTTCATTTTTTACTTGGTGATGCTGGGAGCCCAGGTAGTAAACAAGAGAAGTTGGAGATAGACCAGTATGAGCAGAAACACCAAATTTAGTATTTCTGAGCTCTGGACATGTCTGTACGATACTGTGTGGTGCCACAAAGAGACAGGAGACAGAGCCAAACAAACCTGTTTGGTACTAAAGGTAATATACCTGCTTCTCACCAGGTAAACAAGCCCAGACACAGCTTTGTACTAACAGGTAGTACATATTACTTCCAAAACCATCCAATAACATGTGAAGCGTTTATTTTTTTTCAAAAGCTGGAACACATTCGTAGCGTTAACCACTGTTATTCACTGTGGTTAGAAAGAGATGCGTATGTGAAGTTAAAATTATGTTTTATGGAACAAAAAATGTCATTGAATAAGTAAGTAAAAGTGCAAGTGACAGTATAAAAAAACCCCAAAAGAATGAATGAAATGGCAACACTCAGCAGAATTAAAGAAAATGCAGTCATTTTGAAAACCACCAGTTACAAGAAAAGGTTCAGCATAGCCGAGGTCAATTGCTAAATAAAGATGCTAAATTTTAAAACACTATGCCCTGAAAACAGAAAAACAGATCAATTTTAGTATTCAAATATACATATTTGTTCTTGCCTCTCAGAAAAGAAAATGTGAAGCAGCACAGCAAACATTCCCGAGGACTAAAAAGTACTGTCTTGCAGCCTAGAAATGCCCCTCAGCTGTCAGTTGGCCACCTCTGACCTAGATGAGACATAAAACATTTGCCTGCAGAGTTTGCAGATGACAAAGTGCTGGGGTGGCAAATCAGGAGGAAAGCAGGTTACTGTTGTGGAATGAGCCACAGCACTTTGGTTAAACAGACTCAATCCAAGAAATGCAATCTGATGTAGACAAAAGGAAGAGAAGAGATTTGGGAACAAAGAACGCAGGTTTCATCCACGTAGAATGTGCTGAGGAGGATTTGGGGATCATCGTAAGGGCTTCAGTATGTGCTCTCCAGGGTGACATTGTCACCAACAGAGCCAAGGCAACCCATGGATTGAAAGAGAAATTACAAGCAGAACTTGACTCTACAGAGCTTTGGTGCAGTCACTGTTAAATCACTGCCTCCGGTCACTGTGTTCGTACTTCTAGAAGGAGGTTACAACAGTGGAGTGTAAAGTAGATGCACAAAACAGACTGATGGGCTGAAAAACCAATGTTGAAATGGATAAAGAACCTCAGCCTATTTAGCTTACTGGAAGTTAGATAAATGCTATCTTGAAACAAGATCTTGTAGTCTAACAGGAAGGAAAAGCTGTGCGACAACTGTGCCAGTGGAAACAGTGGTCTTTGTGGAAATCTTTGAAATAAAACCAGATCCCTTTCTATGGTGTGTTTCTCAATTCGGGTTCCCGGGGAAAATAGCATGGGCAGGCTGAAAAATCAGACTGGGCTGTCATCTCCAAATCCTCACTCTTTCCTTTTTTGGTTTTACTGTTGTTTTACTACATTAATTGAGTGCAACAGTATGCCCTTGGGAAATAATAGTAATAAAAAAGTCTGCTATAATTGGGCTTAGCAACTGGGAATATCAGAGAAGGTGACAGATTTGGGAGTATCAAAATTACTTCAGGTCACCAGTATGTGGCAGCTGTAAAAGACAAATGTGATCTAGGGCTATATCTGTCAGAGTATTCCAAGAGAAATGGGGAAGAACTAGTGTTATGCACATGGCTCTGGTGCTTAGGAAATACTGATTCAAACTGGAACAGGTGCAAAAAAGGAAAGGGAATTTAAAGCCTACCAGAAGAGACTGAAACACTGTGGCTTGTTTAGCTTACAAGAAAAACCCCAAGAAACCCAAAACAAAACAATCCAACAATCTCAAAACAAAAACAAAAAAAATCATCTTGATAGAATGGCTCTTTCTTAAATACAGGAAGAGGAAAGAGCTATTTAAGCTAAAGGACAATACTGGAAAAGTAAATGCTCTGTTATCAAATTTAGGCTGGAAAAAGGACGTACGTTAACAAGCCAGTGATATAACCAGTTTTAAACTGTGACCTTATGGTCTCAGGAAAAAGGTTTAAGATATTGTCCACCGTAGCAGGAGATGCTGCCTGAAGACACAAGAGGTATTTCCTGCCAATATTTCTAAGGAAAGGCCATAATTTCAAGTCTGTGTTTTGAACGGATGGGAGTTCAGCTCTGAAATAGACATATGAACCTGTTAATTGAAAAGATTTGTTTGTCAAATACTTATTAATGTACTGTGCCAGTTTAATTGCAAGTCAACAAATGGAAATGTTATTTTCCTTATTTCAGATACCCTAAGTAGCCGTCTCAAGTAAAAGCAAGCGTGTAAACCTCCTCTCAGCAGAAAAGAACGTGTGACTTACGCACTGATTCAGCATCCTGTTTTGTATGCACCGCATTACAAAAAGTGTGGATTTTGTGCTCGTGAAGGTGCCAGATTGATAGCTCTTGAAGCTGACTGCCTATTGTCTGGTACTACAAACAGAGCGGCAGTAGAAGCATCTTCCACACACTGCCTACGCCAGCATCTTTCACTTTTATCTCTAGGAAACAGCTGCCTGCCACGCAGTCCTAGCCTCCGCTGCTGAGAAAATTAGCAAGGACACTGGTGATCTGCAACTGTGCTGTGGAAACTTACCTACTGAGAACAGGAGCTAGATCAGCGTGCACTTTCCACGAAGTCCAGGAGCAACTACATGTGCTAGTTACAGTGGTGCTAGGTCAAAATGGGAAATTGAGGTGCAAAAAGTGCTCTCTACCTCATCGGTCACCTTGGTTATCTGAGTGCAGAGCTAAAAACAAAGCCTTTTTAACAGCATCATTTCTCAAGAAAACTAGTCAAAGAAACGTAATGGCTTACAGCAGTTACAGCCCAACGCAGCGGACCTGAGAAACTACTGAAAGTCAAAGCAAATCCTCTAGCTGTCATCTCACGTCCTTAAATTCTCACCTGCTCAGGACCCATGGAGGACAACCCTGATGTAGGCACAGAGGTCGCTGAGGTCATGCTGATCTGCCCTGTCATCTGGTTCATGTTGTTCATACCACTTGTGTTGGTTGCCATGGATACACTGATGTTCATGTTATTATTGTACATGCTGGTGCTTGCTTGCTGCCCAAAATGTGGTGGGGACTGTTGTGAAAACATGCTACAGCAAGGAATGGAAAAAGCAATGTGTCAGACTTAGAATGCTGAAGCCGCTAAGAAACTACTCTCTTTTTAATATATCTTAAGCTAGACTTTGTATATACTGCCATTTATTCCACCTTCAAAGGAAAAACTAGTTTTCAGCTACATTACCGTCTAAGGAAGAGATTTTCAAAATTTAAGGTCCCATGTCTGTGCACAAAAATGCATGCCTTTGCGTGTGAAACTATGGCAGAGTACAGATCTGTTATGCATGTGCAGTAACAGCCAGTTAGCTGTCTAAATGGGCTTTGTATGTATTTTAAGTATGTTTGGGAAAGTAATTTTTGGAGGGAAAGGATACCAGCCTTCTTCTCCCTCCAGTGTTAGCACAGCACAGGACTGTTGAGATGAAATTTGATCTGGTCTGAAAAAAAAGCTTTCTTTTTGCAAAAGAGGCTGTTGGCACATATGAATACCAGATTTGCACATACAATTATGGCAAGTGGGCTCACAAATATAGACATGCAATTGTGCAGGAATTTATTTACTAAATCTTAGGATCAGGTTTTGAAAATGTGGCACTGTAAGAAACAACATAAAGTCTAAGACGATTACCCTCTACGTTCCTTTAAGGCCACTTCAGAACAACTTAAGGAGGAGTAACTGTGGAAGATCTCATCCCAGATTTTATTCAAAGGCAAGTGCTTTCTGGACAGTATTTTCCTTCCCGTTATGTCGGAAGTAACACGAGAAACTTTTTTACATTTCCTAAAATGCACTCCACTGCTTACATATCAGTCTTTTCTGCTCTTTCAGCATAATCCAACAGTCAGCGGAGGAATTATTACCGGCAGTGTGTCAGTCAAAGGGCTGCTGTGTGTCAGATGGCACGCAGTAACCACCTCCATATCAATGGCTGACTTTTACTTCCCTGTGAAGCACTGCTTCCACAGCTGAGGAAATCTGTCAGGGTTAACGCTCAGCCTCGCACTTGGGTACTCCATCAGGCTACTGCTGCCCACTGCGAGACCTGGTGGAGCGCAACGGCATTCTGGGCACAGGACCAAACTCGGAAAATCCCACCATTCTCTTCCTTCCAGTCCCACGTCTTGTCAGGCCACCTAGCCCCATTTTTAAGTTGTTATCTGGATGGCTGAAACAGTACACTACCGATCATTGTGAATACTCAGTGGCTTGTGTAAACGCATTTGACATGTCTCTGCTGTAGAGCTGCGGTTTAGCAAGCCAACCGTTGGCCTTATCGAGCTGCCCCTGCTGCCGTTTCAGCAGAAGCCACGACAGAGGTAGCTATGCCTCCTGCAGCTGCTTCGGGAAGACACTGAGGAAGAGGCACGGCTGAGGCTGAGGATAAGAGAGAAACGAGTTGCTTTAAGGGGACCTTTACCTGGATCAGCATCATCACTGAAATACTGGTGTTTTGGGTTTATTAAATCTTTGTCAACCAGCAGGAAAAAGACTTGTTGCTGGGCTGGGATAGTAAAAGCAGCCTGAGAACTTCAGGATGACGAAGGCGCTGTGCTAAAGACACCTGTGTGTACCCCAGTGTCAAGTGATACAGGCTGTACACCAACCTGATAGTTCCTCCTGTCTTCCACTGAAAAGCACAGATCACTGCCGTTTGGAAGCTCACTGCTGCCCACCGGCAGCATTCAACATCCACCCCATTCAGTGTGGAAAGGCTGATTGTCAGAGCTATACTGACTGGGGCACAGGCTTCAACTGAGAAGGTGACTGCATGCATGAGGCATGCTACAATGCTCTCGGAGAATGACAGTTATATGCTGACCCCCGGTGTGTGCAAGCACTAATGGACTGAACCTGGTTGCACTCCAGCGTTTAAAGGGGGAGGCGATATCCAGTCGCCGCAATTCCAGAGCAGCAGGGAATGCGTAGGCTCCAGCTCAGCTGATCCAGCCGTGTGGAAAGCAGTGTGGGAGCACAACATGAAAATCGTACGCAGAAGAGATGCATCCACACAAACGTTAGGGGCTGGAGTTCACTGTGCAGCAGAGCTTCTTAACGACACACAGTGTTTTATCGGTTATCACAGACAAAGCAGCGCGTTGTGTGGATGCAGGTCTTTTAGCTATGCACTCACTTTGCCTTGTAGGAAGACAGAATTTAAACCAACTCGTCAAGCCAAATTGAAAAGTAAATCTCATTTAGGACAGACAGTTAACAACAAACAAACAAGCAAACAATTACACAAAACATCTCCGTAAATAAGCGTAGACCACAAATGACCCCAGTACTCTGTGTGTTCATTTTGGTTTTGTTCTGGATTTACCTGTTTCCACCCATGTTCCCTTGTGCCCACCCATTCATCTCCGTAGAGGACTGATAGGCAGGATTAGCCTGAGACTGCTGAATCATGGGGCTCTGTGTATGAGCCAGTCTTGGGGACATCAGTGGACTCTGAGGAGTGGTGGCTCCTGTGAAGCCTGGATCCGGCTGCTGACTAATACCTGAAGAAGAAAACACGAAATTTAGCCACTGCACATTCAACTTTAAAACAAGCCAAGGACTCATACCTGTAGACATGTCTTTACGCTGCCCTTCTTATGTCATCTGGAACCTATCACCTTGCAACTTAACATGGGATTTAGGTGAAAAGCAAGACATCATCAACTAATACTGTATGTATAACCTTAAAAAAATAAATTTGCCTGAGTCTGTTGGCTGCCTGTGCATCCTAATCACACAAGTGGTCTCTCCGCTCTAAAGACCAAAAGAAAAACGCTGGTAAGTGACTTGCCCCCCTCCCCAAGACTGCATTCAAAACAACAAATAAAACACATTGCTTCTGTCTAGAAATCCATTTTGGTTTAAGTTATGCACAACCCATTTACTGAATGGCACCACCTTTTAACATTTAGGCTACAATTTTCAATTTTTTCTGAAGTTCCTATAACCTCAGTATCTCTATTTCAGTGTCCCTGCAAAAAAACAGGCAATGCTGTTTTGTGCAAACGTTTAATGATTTTGTAAAATCAAAAAATTATCTTGATGCAAAGAAAACCTAATTTAAGCTGTAAAATGACAACTGTGGGCAGGAATTTTGTTTTAAATCGAGTAACTTTAGTTTTGCTTAAGGTAATCATGAACAGCATACTCTGAAACAAGCCTCTCAATGCTGGGGCAAGAATCAGGTGGTATGAAATCTATTCTTATATTGACTGTCTGCATTACTTGACTTCTCTGTATCTTTGTCTATATCATAAAATGGGAATAACATAATGCCTCTTCATTTTCATAAAGCAATTACAAATACATAGAGGGAAAGCACCTATGATTTAGAAACCGGTGTAAAGGATGACAGATCAGCAAGAGTAGACAGCACATTTAGAATTGGATGGACATAATTTGTTATATCAGCAGAAGTTGCACATAACATTATTTAATATAATTGTAATACAACTTAGACAAGAAGCTGAATAACAATAACCATATAGAGGTAACTGCCCCATGTACCCCCAGCAAAAAAGTGGTGTGCAGCTTTGTAAAACATACAAACAAAATGGTATTAATTATCATATTACACCCAGGCTTAAGGACAGGGATGGGAAGGCCTTACCTGAAAGTAATTTATATTATTTAAATTCAACAGTTAGTTGTTAATTTTACATTGTAATTTACATCTGAAGAATCATCTTTCTTGGGGAGGAACCTGTCTGATATTTAAGCAATGTCTCATTATCAAGATTCGAAAAATTATGTACAGCATTGTTTCTGGTCGCTTTACGTTGTTTGCCAACGTTAATTCACATATTTTCCTTCATTTGCACTTTTATCGCATATGTTGGTTTGTTTAGTTCAGTGAAAATTCGGAGTCCCTCAAGCCAATACATACGCGTATATGTGTGCATACACACTTTGATCTGCATATATCTATACGTGTAAACAAACACACACACCGCACTTCTGCCACTGCTCGGAAAAAGAGCGGTGCTTGGAGAATACGTGGTACTAGGACCAGGGAAGCGGGAGGGACGGTGTTGCATTTAAGGACTCCCAAGTTTCCCATTGTTCCCCGGGCGCCAGGCAAGGGCCTGTGGGAGTGGGGCTTGGACCCAGCACTGGCGGGGGGGACACAGGGGAGTAAGGAGTGCCGAAATGCCCTGGGAGGGGGTGGAACCAGTACCGTAGTTTGGAGGAAACGGGAACTGCTGTGCGTTTGCCTGCGGGATCCGCGGGTTGCTCATGGTTGCTGGTATGCCACCGGCGGCCACCATGCTGGGGGTCATGTTCAAGCCCTGCCCTCGCATCATCAGCGTCCGCTGCTGCACTTGCTGCTGCTGCTGCTGCTGCTGCTGCTGCTGCTGCATCTGCCGCTGCCGCAGGTGCTGGCTCAGGATCTCCCGCTGCCTCTGCGCCAGCATCTGCGCGTTGATAGGGCCCTGCACGGAAAACCACCGCCACCTATCAATAACCCCCCTTCCCAGGCAACCTGACCGGTGGAGGCATCTCCACCGGCGCAATCTGGCAGATTCCAGGTCTTTTCCCCCCCACCACACGACTAACAGTAATATGAACGCTTCTGCTGGGAAAGACTTCCAACAGTGCAGGAGTCAGTAACTGAAATAATACCAGTGTTTAATGTCACAGTGATTTGTAATTGCAAATAGACTAGCTCATTAAACAAACGCGTCTTTAGGAAACGAGAAGCTTGGTTAAAATGCAGCTATAGCCTATCTCTAGTAAGCAACCATCTACCCCGTGTAAATATGGGAAAGGCTCTCAGAAACAAAACAGTAAAATACTTCTTCTCCTACTGACTGCATTACTGCATTATTTGTATTCAAGCTTTAGAATTTATTGTACGTGTTTACCACATAGCATTACTACTGTATTTAACTGGGGGGAGAAAGAAGAAAACAAAGTGATTTTTTTAAAACAACTAATATTTCTCTCACCTGTGTTGGCACTCCAGGTCTCAAAGACAGATTCATATTGGAGACACTGCTGATCTGATTTATCAGTGGCTGCCGATTCTAAAGGAAAAAAAAAAGACACCCCAACACCAAAACCCAGAAGTTTTTAGGAGGAAAACAAGAAAAAGGAAATTCTATATACAGAGGTATATGCATCTACTTGCTGATCAGTTGGTTTGAGGACTGAGTTTTACATACCCAAACAGGGACTGGTTTTCCTGCTCAAGTCCTATTATTGTTCACAGAATCCTGTTTCTTAGGGAGGTAACACACCACGCAAATAACAATACAGGCATGAAGCTGTTTACCAAACATGCTGCCTTTACAGTTTCTACACTTTTTGAGTTTGGGACTGGACTGTTGAGGTTTACTCTGAATTAGACCTTATTCTGGTGTCTGAAGGCAGAAGTGATCTTTCCTCCTCCACGAGAAGAGCATTAGTGTCTTATTTATAGTACTACAAACCTATAGATTTAAAAATGAAACAAGAAACAACAACTGAAAATGATCCTTAAAAGGAGACCAAGGCCATGACAAGAAACATATGTAGGTAACAGGCAGCAATAGAAAAAGTCACTCAGATTAACTGGAAGAGTCAAGACAGAACAAACAGAGGACCCGTATAACAAAAAGCACCACCGTAGCCTTGCTCGAAGAATCAGTGGGACCTAAGCTTAAATACTAGGCACGTTCTTGCATAGAAAGAACAACGGAAAGATGCAAAAAAGATAAAAAAAGCAAGAACGCGCAGGGTAGTAGAACTCATTCTGGCTAGCGCTTTGGGTTCCCACGTGGAATTGGACCGTAATGAAACAGGGCGCACACTTAGGACCCGGTGTACCTGGGGCGAGCGGGTGCTCGGCCAGCAGGCTCTGCCCAGGAGAGGCGCCTGCCCCGCGGCCGTGGCTCGTACGCGCACCTACCTGCTGTGCCTGGAGCCGGTGCTGCAGCTGGAGCCGCAGCTGGTTGGGCTGGCCCTGCACGATGCCGGCGGGGCGCAGGCCGGGCCGCGGCTGCATGCGCAGGGCCGCGTAGCCCGGGCGCTGCCCCATGGGGTGGAAGCTGGGGTCCTGCATGGGCGCGTAGCTGCCCTGCGCCAGCGGAGCCTGCGCCGCGTACTGCTGGGAGAACACCGGAGCCTTCTGCTCCATCAGGATGCCCGACTCCTGGCTGGGGAAGGTCTCCGGGTCGACAGCTTGGCTCTGCAGAAACGCGTGAACAATAGGAACGGTCGGCGGGACGGGGCTTTTCACGGGGGTTACGCGAGACTAACACAGCCAGCCCGCAAAACCAACCGCACGGGAGGTGAATGCTTTTAAACAGAAAACTACATAAATTTTCTTCACCTAAATATAAAACTTGGAACCAAAGAGAATTGCGTTTTGGGGTGTCAAAACACATTCAGGGAGACAAATTCCTCCTCTCTTTTAAAAACAAAGACCCGCAATCTCTGTCATGTTCTTCTGCTAGCGAGTGAAAACCTGAAATGACAAATGCTGTATGAAAATCTGTAAATGAAGCGATGCCAGCATATTTTTGCCATTGAATCTGAGGTAAATTCAAGACGTTACAAATGAATAAGAAAGTAGATTTTTATCAGTATCTTTAAACAAAATAATGACTCCAAATAAAGATGCCTGAAACTATTACAAAAGCTAATGTGAACAGAGTGCCTAGTTCTTTCAGGGCACTTTCACACAAACTGATTATCCATTAGCATAAAAAAGCTAACACAGTCCTAAACTCCATTCTAGGTACTCCCCCAATATTTCCTCTAGCCGGAATAATTTTATAGCTTATTCCACACTGACCTTGGAAATCAAGTTAAAATAAATTTCAGCGCCCTCATGAGAAGACTTTAAGCTCCTATAAAATGTTTGATGGATATTTTAAAACCATGTTCTAAAATGCAACAGTCCTCTTACCTGCAAAATTCTTTAACTGTTTCCACTGAGATATTCATTAAATTGAAAGATGTTTAGCACTTAGTTTGAAATAAAACAGTATTTTTTTTGGTGGTGGTATTCTAAAAGCTATGTCGTATTGCATGGAAGTGCCACACATGAAAGTTCACCAGTAAATTATACCTTCAGGCTTAACATCTCACTGACTTCTGTGTTGTACCAAATAGGCTTGGAGATAGTTTTCTCATGTCCAAAGCAGGATTTCATTGGTCCTATTTCATATCTAAAATGCAGAGCTAGTTCAGAAGTTATGCTCAGGATGCTGATGAGTGCTGGGAAATTAAATAGGTATTCTAGGCTTGTCTGAGAATATTAAATCATTACAGAGACACATACAGCTGGTTTTGGAAATAAAATTTTGATGCCAAAAACATCAAGTGCTAGCTTTTGCTCCCCAGTTTTCTGTTTTTTTGGGTTTTTTTTTTTTTTACACCACACTTTTTTTACATCGTGTAAGACTGAAATGGACAAGAACCAACTGGAAGCTAATAAAAAATAACTGGGGAAAAAAAATGGATGAAAAATAATAGAAAAAATTCACGCTCTAAAGTTTAGGAACCATTTTTGTAATTTAAAAAAAATTTCCAGTTTGAAGTGCTTGGAATGAAATCGTCTGCTTCAGGTGAAACTCATCCCTTACACACGTTAATCAACTAAGGGAAGAACTATGGGTGAAGTTACACGTTACATGTTTGCTCATGCAAAAGCTTGTTGCCCCCATCACACAAAGGTCTTGATCTTGCTCCTAGGCCTTCACTTTCTTTTTTCTTCTTTTCTAAACCCTGTTGCTGGCTGTGATCGTATGTTTCTCCCACAGTCATTCCTCTGACCACGAGGTGAGCAGAAGCCTGTTCATTTTTTTGGTTTTGGTTAGGTTAGCTGCATAAAGTGAAGTGGCTCAGCACAGGTCAGAAGCAAGAGAGCTAGGCGAGTGTGGCAGGGGAGAGGAAGGAAGACTAAACCTGGGGCTGAAGGAAGCTTTTCAAGTGACCCTGAGCTCTTAGATGGACTCCCACCAAAATACGTAACTCCAACCTAGCTGGCAAGAAGTGCTTTATAATCCTCTTTTTCAACACATTTTACCTCCACCTTAACAGCATATCCTTTAAATGCAATACACAATACATGCAAATGCAATGTCCAGTATACCTGGCTAACTAGTTCTGGTATTCCTAGAGCCCTGTCGATTTCTTCTAAACCATCAAAATTCCTTAATGCCATGTAAAGCTGATCCAGGAGAGCACCCTCATCACTTGGTGACTCTGATGAAGGATGATTACACAAGAGATCATCTGGTGAGCTGCCAAACGGTTGCCTGTCAAAACATGAACACAGCGTTGGTAAACAGCTGCTGAAAAACAAAAAATAATATCAGAGGATTAGTACTCGGATTGAACTAACAAGTGGAGACAGAAATTATTTTCATCACTACCAATTCTGTTTAGAAAACTATTCCGGATGAAAGTTATGTTACACAAAGAAATAACTAAATAGCGTGATTAATGCCTGTCAAGACTCTACAAACACCTTATATCCAACAAGTAAGCAAGCACACTAAAAGTACTCCCAAGTGCTGATTTCATATTACAGAGTCAACAGAGGAGCACAGAAGTCAGTATAGAGTATAGTCACTGAACACAGAAGACTAAATTTTTTTTTTTTTTTAACTAGCTGTAACTTTGAATTTTAGACGTTAGATTAAGTATACTACCACAAGTGGGAAAAGAACTGATTTCCAGAGACACTCTCCTTAGTTGGTTTTCTGTGGGACTAAGCAAGCCGAAGAGGTCACAGAGGGTCTGAGGACTGTCTGAGCCTGCACAAACCAAACATCTGGAAGAGCTGGCCAGAAGCTTGAGGGAGCAGGGAGAAAAGGACATTCCCCTTTTTGCTTGCAGTGAAACACTGCATCAGCTCAACCCATCTTATGGAATTGCACACTCGGGTACCAGTTTATGGACTGGGTTATGTGCCTCAGAAGGGTGTCAGCAAGAATTTGGATACTGCCAGGCAGAGTGTGCTGGCTCTATAAATCCTGCTTACCTCACCCCTGAATTTGTATGCAAAGCACACTCACAGTTACAAAGGCAGAATAAAGGTTTATTCCAAACCTGAAGGACAAAACTTACTGAGAAACAAACTACATCTGAAATAACACCTTATCTGCAACCAAATGACATATTTTTGTTTTGCAGTTCACACATGAGCTTTACTTCATGCACAATACTACAAGACTACAATAGAAAATATAAAGAGCGAAACATTCTGCCAGCGAGGGCAGCTACTGTATGCACGTCATGGCAGAATCTCATCCCAGATAATTACTCAGAGACAACAAAAGCTGTCACACATGGAGGGAGGAAACAGCCCTATATGTGAACCCTTTTCACATGTCTGTTTGGAAAAACAAAGAAACATGTTTGTGTATTTAGTTTCCATAATGAGATATATGGTTGCCATGGAAGTCTAATCTCTATGTCAAAGCTAAGCAGAAGGAAAGAGCTGCATCATCAGCCTATACACCTAAAAAACCAAAGGATGGCAGGCAGGAAAACTAACAAAAACATCTTATTTTTAATTAGGTCCTGGACTGTATAAAATAAAAATACGGATACATATTGACGTACCTTTAAAACATCTCAAAGTATTAATCAAACTAATATATAGAGAAGTATCGATGACTCTCACAGATGGAATTATAAATCAGTAAAAGGGAAGAGAAAAAAACCCCTTTGAATCAAATTGCTTGCAAACTTTAAAGATGACTTAAAAGAAGGGTTCTAACATCTGGAAAAATAATCGATAAAGCTAGCCAGAAAACCTCCCTCAAATTGTAAATGTGCATGAATACACATGATAAGAAAAAGTTTAAAACATTTGTCAAATTCTGTATGTTAAACGATGACAATTACTTTGTTTTCTTCCCCATATTTTATAAACACAACGATAATGTTTAATTTTTCTCTTAAAGAATTATTTTTACCCACGACTTAACTTTTACAAAATTTAATACTCATGATGATAATTAGATTATAAAAATACAAATCCCAGGGATTATTGAATAAAATAAGAAATGGAAGCACCAAACAATTCGTCATCTCTGTGTGTAAATGATCAAAATATGGTTACTTTCAGATGCAACACAATGGGAATTTTTTTCACCGTCTTCAGCTACAAGGAAATGATGAGAAATGAAAAGGGAACAAATTGGAAGAATTATCTGCCTGGCTTGCTGACCAAACACAGCCCTGTATTTTATTTTACAGCGTCATTTTTTAAGTGAATAATTACATTATTCAAACAATGCTTTTGGCATATGGACACCCTAACTGGGAGATAATTAGCACCAGGAGACAACTTGAAAAGCATAAAAAGTAACAGAGAAAATGACACACTTAAATTTACAGATAATATTTGCAGACACCCCTTCATAATAAAAATTGAGAATGTCATTAGATTAACTTTTTCTCAAACACACTTTTTTCCCACTGCTTCCTCTTAATTTTCTTTCCAGCACTCCCCCCATTCACTACTGAAAAATATCCCAACTTACACAATTCAAAATATTTCAACAATTTTGACGTAGTTGTCCATTTTGCATCATTTACACAGTCCATCTATGCATCTGTCTGTCTGTCTGTCTATCTATCTATATCTATCTAGAGAGAAAGAGCTTCTGTAATGTAAGCTGCCAACTTTTTGGAGAAGAGATGGCTCTTTTTTACAAAGTATAAACTGCTTTTCATAGTTTTGACATTATTTAAAAGTCTTAATAAAGAACAAAGTTTATACATTACATAAGAGGTAATGAGTTGTGATTGAACTGTAGTTCTGGTTACCTGAGAAGGAGCTAACTTCAGGGAAGAGGCAGTCCCCCCTTCCCTTCATCCTTCCTTACTTTTTAGGTCCGTTAAAAAACCCCAAACAAAACATAAGTTAACTGTGTCCTGCACTACTTAGAATTCTACCTTGCTGCAGGAAAAGACAGCTATGTTATAACTACAAAGGCTCTGGCATTTTTCCACATTTAGCGTTAAGTATAATTGTTAACAATAAGAACACCAAAATCAGGCAGAATCATGCCCATGTTAATGCTCGAGAGGCGAAAATGGTGCAACTACACAAAGTACTGACAGTATCCACGGTGATGCAGAACTTCCAATTCTTCCAACACATTAAATGGTAAAGAGAGCATTTGTAAGTATTACTGTAACATGTATACATTTCACGAGCATAAAATACTACAGGCATTACATTGAGGTACATTCGGTGAGTATTTTGTGTGAATTATATTATGGTAAGTATTTCCATGAGTTATATAAAATACAGGCCTGTAAAATCTCTCCATGTTTTGATGTGACACCAAGACTCACCTGTTCTGATTACCAAAAGATGCCTGATCTATAGGCAAGATGCTGTCTGGCCACGGTGCAGTCTGATTTGGAGGTGCCTGTTGTTGGTTATACTGAGGTCCTCCTATGTTCATCTCCAATTCGGATGGCCCTAATCAAGGAAAAATAATCACCTAACTTTTGTGAAAAGAATCCACTTTCATGTTAATTCTTTCCATTGAATTATCTATGTTACAGTAGAAGCAAATAAAACCATTAAGACTTCAGTAGCATTACACACAAAAGCATCTTGATTTTTTTTGTTAAAAATTGCTTTTAAAATTCGAGAAAATGACATGAGAACTCTGAAAGTGGTTCAAAACCACAAAAGGGCAGATATGACATCATAGATCAAAAAATTAGTAAGATAAGCATAAAAAAAGTATATAGAGTCAGTATCATAACGTACTTGCTTTAAAAGTGACGAAGAACAATGATTATGTTCACAGCAATTTCTCTTAAAAAAACCCTACAGTCTTTAATAAGCACGGGCAACTTCATATCCTCTTTCTTTGGCCACACCACTGTGGAGTTAGGATTGTTCATATCAATACATGCATTAAAAGTTAGTGTTTTACACACCTACCTTCCCACTTCCACAGAAAACTTCCACTGTGGAACATGATTCTTATCAAATCTCTAATTGAAATGAGTCTTTTTTTGGTTTGGTTTGTTTTTTTTTTTTTTTCTTTTTTTTCTTTTCTGCCCCACCTGTGCCAAAAGGCACAACTCCACACCGACTTACCCATATTCATGACCTGAGATGGCAGCATCTGCCTCGGGCCAGGCTGGCTGCTGGGTCTCAAGGGGATGCTGGCCGTGGGGTTGCGGATCATGCCTGCTTGCACCGGCCTGTTCATGGCACTAGCTGTGGGCGTGCAGGTCACCCTCACGGCAGGAGCCTGGCCTCCCCAGTCTCCAGACGTCATGGCAGGCCGAGGGGCATTGCCACCGATCATTCCTGCACAAAAGCCAAACAGACTCAGGTGCCGGCACATGGTTCAGAACAGCTTTAGCATTACAACTGCCCGATGAGCCGCGTGTTTAGCGACGCAAATGCAGTAGTTTCACTCAAAGCACACTGCACCACAACTGCCCGTCCAGATGTGCAAAGCTACAGAACGATGCCTTACGCTGCTTAGTCAAGGGACTGCAGATTGGTTTACGTTTTACAAGAGGAAGATCCTTTTATCATTTCCGAAACGCTGTTCAGAGTAAGTGTTCCCACATGTAGTCTGCAACAGGTGCCGAGGGTGTGTGGATAGCCCTAACTTCCTTCCTCAGGAAATGAATCACGTTTGCTGATGTGTGTGTCAGTGCTTTACTTTCCAAGTGCTAAGTGAGAATGAAGACTTGAGTACAACATGTTATTGCTACACATGCTTCCAAATTAGAAGGCTTGATTTTAAATTCTCATTCTGCAAACATCTTTTGGCGAGTCCTTTCATTTGGAACCTAGGGCTGCCTTAGCTTCAAGGCTCACCCAGATAATCTTGAACCAATATGCAGTGCAGGGAAATTACTCACAGGAACTTTCCGATAGATGCTGAAGTTCATTACCGTTATTTTAGGGGAAGTCCTCCTACATCTACTGTAAACAACTGATACAGTTTATTTACACTTGGAATATATAGAGTACTACAGTCTGACAGTAGTCAAAAAATCCAACCAAAGCCCAGCACGAAAACCCCCCAAACCCCAGACATGCATTCATAGTATTTATACATTTCAATTTTATACAGTCAAGAGAGCAGAGAGAACTCTGATTTCAGATTGGACTACTGGTCTCTCTAGTCGCATTTTGCAACATCCTTAAACGACTACTAAAAGCCATACAAATAATTATTACTACTTGTTAGTTCAATTATTTGGTGATATACAACCAAGGACAAAAAACTTCTGAAGAGGGTCATTATTTCAGCTGCTGTAGAAAATTTGCCTCGGTGTTATATCCTCAGGTTTGTTCTGTTTGTGTACACATTTTATCAGCTGAAATATGTGGTGTGCTAGAACAAACGGCAGGAACACAGATAATACTCTCTAACTTGTATACATAAGATGAATAACATCCTCTAATATGTATACAGAACATGAAAGTAATAGGACACTTGAAAGGCTACAAGCTGACCTCTGAACTGCTTAAATATGTTATTTCAGTGTCTGGCAGCATGTCTTTTTTAATACCGATGCAAACTAAATATAAATTTTTGACAATGAATAACCAGCTGAAAGGACTTAAAACACCCATTTATTTACTCATTCAGAGTTCTTAGCAGCTGTTGCACACTTGGACAATCTCAGACTACGTACTAGTTGAAGTAAGTCAATCAGCCAGACTTTTCTTGTGAAATCCCCTATGGTATCTTTGTACAGTATTAGGGCAACATGAAGAAATCAATGCACCACAGATCAGGCATAATCTATGACAAGAGGTAATACCACTGCAACAGCTGATGTTTCCCAAAAAGTTTGTTTCAGAAAATGATGAAAACATTAGCACTTCTTTAATTTAAAATGAGAACTAAGGCTAATAAATAAAAGACAGCTGAGACCAAAACCAAGGTCTGTAGAGATACACATCATAAGGGCAATAGCACTGCCCACAATTTTGTTTTGAAAGAACTACCTCTACAGACAAGTGGTTCAGTTATTTGCTTTTTCGAGGCAGAATGATTGGCTTCTGATGTGAACAGACTCTAACTGCCAATACACTGTGTTCATCCAGAAGTTTTCAGGTAGCTGAAAAGCATTTCATACAGAGCAGGACTAAAAATATGCAGAAACAGAAAATCAAAACAAATATGCTAATACGTAACAGCCCATGAAATAGGATTTTTTTTTTTTTTGTCCAGACTTTTTACTTCTAATAACCTGCACTTGCAATAACTCCAACATTAAGTTACACATGCTATAGTCTGTTACTTGAGTATATTTAAAAAAATAGTAAGTCATCTTACCTGTGCTACTGTTGCCTAAAGTTCCTTGACTTCCTATCATCCCTTCATTCCTGCCCATCAGTCCTGGCTGAGGTATCACTGAATAGGGGCTACTCGTTCTTATGGGTGGGAAAGTTCCTGCACCTGTTGGGTTTTGCAGTGTGATGTCAAGTGGTAAATTCTGGTTTGGTAATAACCTGCCCAGTTGCCCTGCTCGTGGGTTATTAAAAGCTAGACAGGAGGAGCAAAGAAAAAGCAAAGTTAGAAGAGTGGAAACTTTACTCGTCAAAAAGAAAACCCAACCCAAACAAACTTTAAGCTCTTGGGCTGAGCTATTTAATGCTGTGTAATTTAACCATTCCATATCTGTCTGAGAAACATCCCTTCTTGACATTTTTATGTAAATTTCAACATGGAACATTCTGACACTAAACCAGATATGACGTATATTTTTAAAACTTTAAATGATGCAATTTGACTGACAGAAGAGCTACTACAGCAAAATATACCACTGTGTGATGTGTATACTACTGCCAATTAATCTTATACCTAGCAGGATTGTAATTGCATGCAGATGTCATTCTGAGGCAGATTGTTAGGAATTATCTCAGTTTTGAAAGTTTTCCAGCATAAGCTGTGCCCCTGATGAAGTTACCAAAGTAAAGGACAGACTGAGTCTATATCAGATCTTGTATTCTCATTTCTACATCTCCCTCAATTTTTTTTTTTTTACATTTTTTGTCATTAATAAAAATAAATACTTCCATGAGTCAGCAACAACAACTAAGCAGTCCAGAATTAGAGCTGTGCCATCATAATATTCTGGTAAACAGAACCATGTTTGATGGTTACTGTCATCTTTAGATAACTATTTGCTTCTGTTGAGGTGTTTTGTGCTCTTAAAACCAGCCTCTGCAAAGAAAACTGCAGACTGTCTCAGAAAAGTGAGCTTTAGATCATGACTGGCAAGCATCTGGCTCAGCTGGTCTTTGGGCAATGTTCCAGTGCATGAAAACATCTCCTGTGGGCACAACTAGTTCTCAAACATGACTCAAACACTGACCTTGTGCCTATAATTCCATTTCCAATCATACCAACAAAGCACATACAAATAAATGAAGCATTTTTGTGAATTCATTATTTGCACTACTTCTTGATAGCCTCCCCTAGGAGAGTCTCCGATATAAGAGCATCCTTAAAGCGACTTCTGCATTTTTATATTCACCACATTACAAAGAAGCTAAAGAACTTTTTTCTTATTTTAGGTCAAAGTAGTAATGCTTTTGAATTTGAGAACTTAGATGAGGTTTATTAAGCTTGTTAAAAAGTACAGAAACATCTTATAACAGAGGTCTCTGACTTTTCTTATTTTATAAAACTGGACTACAGAAACTCATGCACTCACTGATCCTATATAAAGGAAAGCTGGAAATGCAGCACAAATTAACAACACAGTTGAGATGTGATAGTGTTGAGGTCACATATTCGGCTCTTGGTCGGGATGGGCCTGAAGGATGCTCCCTGTCTCCCTCTCCCGCATGCAACAAACTAACAATTTGGCAAATCTAGCAGCTTTCAAGTTTTGTGCTGTTTTGGTTTCAACAGATAAAAATATTTTAAGTATTTTCATGCAAAACCTTAAAATGAAAGCTGGTTATTTCTTCAGAAAAAAAAAAAATTAAAACTCCCAAATCTCTTTTGGAATTGTGTATGATTTGACATTCATTCTACACTGCTTTCTTTGAGCATATGAGAAGCCACTCACTATTTCTGTGCACCTGTTTTCTGTATGCTCTTCTAGTGAAAAGAAGGCAGAAATTCCCTAGAGGAATCAGGCACAGACACAAGACTAAGCTGGGGGAAAAAGTTTTAGGGTTTTAATTTCCATGGGAAATGGGATGTTGCTTTTACAAAACTGCTGGTAACCACCAAGACACTCTCATTTACAATCATACTGTTACAGTACTGCCAGTAGCTTTGAAAGCAGATCTGAAGACAGGTTAACTCTGGAAAGCCAGAAGGCTACAGTGGAAGGAACCAGCAGACCTTGCTTCAGAAAGGACATGCTAAAGATTTCAGATGCACAGAGAATTCCTTCTGACTTGTGTGTTGCTGCTGTCAGTACCCCATACTTATAAAAACGAGCACATTAAATCCAAGCATCTTTCTATGAGCAACACCGATAAGAAATCACAATTGAAGGATCTGTAGTTATTTTGATATTAATTTAAACACTAATATTTATTATTAATTTAAACATTTCTAAGTAATAATTTGAGTTCATTTGAAAGTGGCGGAGTGTTATTTTAGTACCATCAGAATGTCTAAAAATATTATCTAAGCCCTATGTTTTATAAAAAACCTCACCATTGTACATTTAATGAAGTAAATAGATGCTGCCATCCTAGACAACAGGGGAAAAAAACCCGAAGCAATGGCTTTTAATGCTATTTTCTTCAACATTTATATCTGATAAGACTCCCATCTTGCTCACTTTCCATTATTCTATGGTGGTAGACCAACATTTCAACGCTGATTTGTAAGTTAATTAATAAAGTTAAGGAACACTGCCAGCTGGAAGTGACTCAATTAAAAGCCACAATTTCAAATTAAACTTGGGCATTCCTCTTAATCATATGTCTTTCTATTAATCTTGTGGGTTTAGAAGAAGACTCTCCACGCTGAGAGAAGCCTCTCTCGTCCCTTTTACTGAAAGAGCTGCTGGAAAGGAGCGATCTGCGTGACAACAAAATGCATGCACTCTCCCATAACCACAGCAGGGGACGTTTCATTTATTTTGAGGGCACCCCTGCAAGAGGCCACGGGCTTCCAGGGCGCCGCGTGAATTAAGACGTGACCCCCCAACATGTGTGTCGAAATGGGACGACCGCAGATGGCGCTGTGTCATCACGCAAGACCAGACCGAGACGAGGAGCAGCCCAATTCCTCCCCGGCTGACCCAGGGGCACCGCACCAGGACCCGCTTTTTTGGGGGGGGGGGGGGGGGGTGGTGGTTTCACGAGGTGTGGGAGGTGGACTCACTGCTCTGTGAAATCCTCATTGCTGGTTTCTGGGTGGCCACAGCTGCGCCGGGGCTGCTGTCACTGGTGAGCTGCATGAGGTCATTGATGATGGCTTGCTTGTCGACCGAGCCCGCTGGCGCGCCTGGGCGGCTATCTGGGAAAAGCTGCGGTAACTGGCTGTTCTGCAGGTCATCCAGAATCTCCTCCAAGTTATCCAATTCACTGCCTGGCTGCAATGAAGACAAAAAAAAAAAAAAAAAAAAAATACAAAACAAAACACAAACCCACAGTACACGTCGCTGCTCGCCTGCTGTTGGCGTCCTGCTCGGCAGCCCACAACCGTTACACCCGCACCGGCTTTGGATGCTTCCTGCAAGAAGCCCGATGTGCAAGAAGCTCACAAAATTGTTGAAAGGAGACTGTACAGGCTTCCCAGGGCTCGTTTGCCTTGCATTTGCGGAGCCCTGTGTGGCACTGGCACCCCTTCAAAGCCCTGGCATCGGGACCTATGAATCCACACATTCCGTACCTCGGGCAACGGGGAGATTCTCCCTGTGCACTCTGTGACCAGTAAAGACAGCACGGATAATTTGCCAGGGGAAGAGATCCAACAGTGATGAAGACAGGGGGTTTAATGTAGGTATAACCAATATTCCTTTCAGCACAGTCATATTTCTAGTCTCTTTATGACTTGATTAAAAGCATACGATGGAAAAGTTGCTTCATGGCTAAAACAACTCCCCATATGCATTTGCTTTGTTACATTCAAAACCTTAACACCGACTAACTGTATGCAAGTTAACTGGCAAGAAATATATATTTGAATTAAATTCTATAAATTAAAACCTGTCAACTAGTTACTAGATTTAGGAATTTCTTTTGATCACAACTTCCCAAATCAGTGACAATAACTTCTCTACATTAAGAAAAAACCCCAAACAGATAAATCCAGTTACATTGAATTCAGTAGAAACTGATCATGAAATAAAGATGGGAAAAAAAATAAGTTCATCCTATACTAACATAAATACTGACCTGCGTGTTTTTCTTAAAAATTTTGATTTTCACCAGTATTTTTTTGGGGTCAGTTTCTCCATCTATAAACCCTCAGAATTAAAAACTTTTCCTGACTGGAATTTGGAGATGATTACAAGTATACTCTCCGATCCTGAACCTCTGAATGGGATAAAACCCTTTTGGGTAAAGGCAGTCCAGTCTCAGTTACCACCAAGTTGCACAGGAAACATTTCATGACAGTATTTGTAACAAAAACCTACTCAAAATCAGCACCTTCATTAGGAAATGTGCGACGACGGAAGAGAGGCAGAGAGTGAGCAGCCAGCCGTGAAGGATGGGGAACCGAGAAATAGCACCACAGTCATGCACACAACCGAAATACAATTCTTCCCGTTCTTTTTTGTCCTACTGCCACATTGTGAACTTATTGAAAGCAAGCTTACACTGCAGATCACAGGATAATGTAGAAATACCTGAGATGGCTTTAAACTACCTACCAAGGCTCTCACAGCCTAGGTGGGAAGCACTGCACATTAGTCTGTACTAAAGTCCTCCTGCCACAGCTAACCTACTCCTGGGAAGCCTAGCTGTTTTATTCAAAGGCAGCTAAGATGCCTCCAGGTTATACGTCTACATACCTTTCCCAGATGACTGACTGCAGATAAACACGGTATTACTCTTTACTCCTTCCACATCACCTCCTGGTCTTACAGATTGGAATATATAGTGCAAAAGAGGAAGGAGTTTACTACGTTAAAAGGCAGCATGTGGGTGATCTGGTGATATTGGCAAAATGGGAGGAAATCACAGAATCAGAGGGCTGGAAGAAATTTAAAGCCTCAAGGCAAAATCAGTGTATGCCATTCCCTAGAGAAGTTCATATAGCCTCTTGTTATAGACATCCAGTGACAGAAAATCCAGAGCTTCCCCAGGGAATTGGTTTCAGCACACAGTCATCCCTACTATGCAAACTTTTTTCCTCAGTGTCAATGCAAAATCTCCCTCACTGCAATTTAGGCCTTTCCTTTCTGTCAAATTTTGAACCCGAAGAACAAACTGTGTTCCCCTTTATTTTTCTAACCTTCTCTGTATTTGAAAACATGTGCCTTTTTGGTTTTAAGCTGAAGTTAATAAGCAATCTCAGCTTGTTGAATTTTCTTCAGCCCATAACCTGTTTCCTAGACCTCTCATTCCTCTTGTTGCTCCTGTGGACTGTCTTCAGTTGATCCACACTTTTGCTGAAGTGTCATGTCCAGAACAGGACTTATGATGAAGCTTTACAACTGCTGAGAAAAGCAGAAAATTTACTCTACACATAGTACGCTCTGATGGTGTATTCCAGAGAAGCCTGTGATTTAATTACATGACATTACTGACTCTTCCTCACCTTGTGCTATGATCCCTAGACATGGCTCTGAGAAGTCCTACCTAGCCAGTTGTCCCCTTTTTGTAAAAAAAAAAATCTGTGACATTATTCTTGACTAATTGTAATAAATAGCATTTGTTCATCCTGAAGGTTCTCCTAAGATTTTTTTCTCCATGTCTCCTGTTTGCAGCTGAATTTTCATTCTGTCCTCCAGCGTATTTGTAGACATTCAAGGGCCACACATAGCTTTACCAAGCGTAAGCTCTATTCAAACACTGAGCAGCTCTAGATGCTGCACGGGCTCCTGCAGCACCTCCATTCTGACAGTGAATCCTTAAAGAACCACTTGGTGTGTAAGGATTTGCACACATCTTCCTACCCACTCACAGCAGTTTCGTCATGACCATGCAGCTCTAATCTGCTTAGGAGAATGCCATGCGTAAGAGTGCCAAAGTACCCAAGACACATGGCATAGGGTGCTGCTCTTATGCTAAAAAGCCCGCTAACCTCTTGCAGAAGGTGAACAGGCTGGTCCCACATCACCTGCTCTTGACAAATCCCCCTGCTGACTCGCAGCCTTTCCAGGCATTTCCAAGCAGTTGGGTGGACACAGCACACCAACACAAAAGGTAGGGACAGGAGGAATCAAACGTGATCTCATCTTGCGGGCAGGTGATGAGCAGATTCAAAAAGGCGCTCCAAGGGACCGCGGTGAGCGATGTTTAGAGCAGCTGCATTTTGAGCACTGGGAGACCTGGTACAAGAAGACTGAAAGAGCCAGTAGGAGACTGACGTAGGGTAATGTAAATTATAGAAGGGTGATTCAGTACTCTTTGGGGGAATTAAGACATACGGCCTTCATTAAACATATTTGAGACAACAGTGTCTCAAAAAGTTTTATATGTCGCAGGGGGTTTTTTGTTTGGTTTTGTGTGGGACTTTGTGTCTTTTTTTCTTCCTTTTTTTTTTTTAACATTCTGGCTACTGCAATTCTTTGTTTAAACATCAGATGTAAAAAACCCCTAAACAAACAACAAACCCAAAACAAAGCCAGAGAAGAACATATTGATCCAAATGTGTCAGAAAACTGCACTCCCCAAGATGTTTTTAATTTCTCTCAGGAAGTGGCAAAGAAAGGCCAAATACAACAGATGTATTATAACAACACAAGTACATAACCTTCCTTCTTTTTTGCTTAACATAATCAATACCAAATATTTAATCTTTAGTTTTTTGATGAGATGAGGGTTCTCAACTGCTGCAAAAGCTCCAAGATAGATTTAGAATTAACACTAGGCTATGATGCTAGCCTAACTCTTTCCAGACCCACCCTCAACTGGCACCAATATGTGCACAAACTAGCATTAAAATATTTACTTGGTTAGTTTAATGGGATTTTTCTTTTATTTATATTCTATATTTATTTTGTTAATGGTCTAAGTTGAACTTTATGTAAATAGAAGGCACACCCTAACCTCCCTGTAAAACAATTATTTGTCATGAATTAAAAAAAAAAAAAAAGCCCGATAAAGTGCTAAGCATCACAAGAAAGTTCTCATTCACATATTTTCACTATCTTTAAGCAATGCAATTACAACAATCTCTGTAGAACTTGGACAGAAGTGCCAGAAAACATAAGACAAATTGTGTTTAAACATATTTTTGCATTTGAAAAAGTACCTACTTTTGAAGCACTTATCACTGTCACATACAGAAAGACAGAATAAAGTGTTTTAATTGATTACAGAATTTTTTCAGCTCTATTGAAAGGCAGTTACACCTCAACATGAAGTTTTGTTTACAAAAGTTGCTATGTCAAAGTCTAGCTTCCATGGATTGCAAAGGACTGGATAAGATCCTAAATTCTCCACAGGCAATGCCCATGGCTTGCACCAAAAACCTGTATTTCAAGCTTCATACATATACGCGTTTCCTTTATGACTATGTATGACAGAGGCATCTGGGACTTCTTCCTTACAACAGGATGTCTTTTGGTGGGGACACAACTTGAAACTATACCTGCCTTATATAAACCCCAAGTAAGCTCATTAGCTAACTCTGTAGCACAGTCAAAACATTTGACCATAAAAGGTAAACAAATCCCTGCTCCAAACTGGTCATAAATTAAAGGATTATAAAAAGAAGGCAAAAGTAAAACAGAAGTGGAATCAATATAGTCTTTTTCTCCCTAGTAACTGCAATAAACATACAATTGGCTAGAAATCCCATTATATTATCAGGCTAATCTACTGCTAACTTCTGGAAACAGAACTCTAATTGAAAGACATCCAGAAAATGGAATCCCCATTCTAAGGTTTTGATAGAATTTCAGTGAAAGAAACCAATGTCCTTCTTTCATTTAATGGACTCCGGACATCAAGAAATAGGTTTCTGGAAGATAAGGGGCATGTGTAAAGGAAATATTTTAGTATTGGGGTAGATACTGGTTTCCACATAAAGCAAGACGACAGCTGAGTTGATAAAAGTGTGTGAGGAACACCGCAACAGTTTCTGAGTTTTAGGACAAAAAGGTACGTGCTTAAGATTGTTTCTGGAACAGCAGTGGTGGAAACTGTGGCATTGCAAAGTCCCTATCTGACAAACAGGCTGTCTATATTGTCTGCTAGCTAAAAAAGAGGAGAATATACTTATTGAGATAAGGATTCTGTTCCACACTACGCCAAGTGCTTTCTCAGAGGGTAAGCTACAGCACATTTCCACCTCTTGGTTTCTTCATCTGCAACACGAATATAATAATCCACACTCAATTTTCCAGAAGAGTTTTGCAGTACAGAACAACACGGCTAAACAAAATGTTTCTTTAGCAAGGCAATACCCGACATTGTCAGGGCATGACGTTTCCCTGACGTAACCCTCCACTTCCACTCTCCTTCCCCCAAGCTGTTAGCCGGTCCTTGTCAGACCTGACCATCTGCTGACCACGACACAGGCTGCTCCCAGCCAGCAGCAGCGTGTGCTGGCGGCAGCCAGGAGCACAACGAGGGGGTTTTGGGGAGACAGCACAGGGAAGGAGGGTGCGGGATCAAGTCCCACCATGGCAGGTCCACAGGAGCTGGTGGGCCACCAGCAGGGAAACGTAGGCTCGCTGCTAAGGGATGCCCTATAAAACAAATCTGTAGCAAATCAAGACTCGTGTTTCCACTGCCTTCCCTTTTTAATAGTGGAAAATGATATGAGCACTCGCAGTGCTTGATGGCAACAGTCCTACTACTGTTGATGCTGTAGGAAAAGCTCTGCTGAGCCTCCCCAGCAGGTCTCTCTTTCATCCTCTCCCCCACAGCTGCCTTAACTGGAATAGCAATCAGCCTAATAGAGCTTGATAACCATCATCCCACCAAGGAAGGGAAAAAGGTACGGTGGCGCTGGAAATACTGTCTGCCATTTGAGAAAGGCTTCCTGTCAGTTGCTGCTCTCTGCAGAAGTATATGTTTAAACACACTACCTAGAAGACTGCTATTTTTAGTACAGTGGTGCACTTCAAAGCATTTCCTGCTCAGAAAGTCACACCAAAAGTAAAAGGAGAAAACGTAATGGCTCTGCTGCCTCCCAACACCCCGATCCTCCTTGCAGAGGCCATCCCACTGCTGCTCCGCTGCAGTTTCCAGAGAAACTGCACACTCCAGTGACTAATTACTTAAAAATACAACATTCCTTGGGGAGGAGAAGTTTTAAATAAACCTGCAAAATAGGTAACACAAGCACATGGCTAATTTTTACATATGGGAGGAAGAAGGGGCGGGGGGGGAAGGACGCAGGAGGATGGAAGAATTTAGCACAAGAATCTGTGTTCTAGTCTTGTACTAAATAGTTCCAGCTTTGATCTAAATTTAGGCAATGAGCACTTCCTGTGGGAGACCGTCTTCCAAAGCTGAAGAGTTTTTGATGCTAAATATTTTCAGTGATTTTATAATTGGGGTAAAGTGGTTATTTGTTTAAAGGCCTGGCCCTCAGCTAGATAAATGCTTACATTATTTTATATTCCCTACCCTTTCCTCTCCTACTCCATGCTGGATTTCTCCTGTTTGTTCAGTTCCAGGTTTCACTGTATTTTAAGAAGGTTTTAAAACTCTATTTACAACCAATGGGAGCAACAAAAGCCCTTCTGTCATTATCCAGAAGCCTTCCATCACAGCTGTGGGACTGGCTTCTCCTTATTTCAGCGCTGAGGTGGCCCAAGCACTTCAGCCCTTACCACTTTATCACAACTCCTGCACTGCTTTGTGGTTTTCTGAACAGCCCCAACTCCTGGACCTTCCCCTGTACCTCCGGATCCCTCTCTCCTGGGAGATGATCTCCATCTTCAAATTTAAAAAAACCGCAATAGATCCATAGTCCGTACTCCAACCCCCTCAAATCCCTCCCCTGACCCCAGAAGCAAAGTCTAAAAATAAAAAATGAATAGACTGTTCACTTCACAAATTCATAATACTGGGGACCTGCATTTCAAATGCCTGAGGCTGGCAATGCTTATAGACACTGAAGTCTCTTTAAAGTTATGCCTATAGTTACATGTTTACATTTAGGGCGAGACAAACTTGCCTATCTTTAGTCATGAAAAAGTAAGGCAGCTGGTTTCAACCTGCCATCTAGGATGCCTCCAGTCAAAGGGAGCATCACTAGAGAACAGCTTACCTTCCCTGTGTTAGACATACATTAGGATAAGACAAAAAAAATCCTGGAGTATTTCCCTATTTTTCCATCAACAATAAAAGGAGCTCGTAGGACTATCTGGGACTAGGCAGCTAACTTCCAGCGGGGACAAAACCTGCTTTTCTTGAAAATGGGTTCACAAGCTAAGGCGCTTCTTGTCTACTCCACAGAGATCATGAAAGAGGAAACTTTAACTCTTTTACAAATTTAATTCTTGGTGAGTAAAACATTTGAAGGCCGTGATTTTGATCTACTTAAATGGGCATAAATTTTTTGGTGATTCCCAAATTCTATGTCCTTGTCCAGTATCAAATATTGAGGACTGAAGGATCTCTGCCTTCAATCCAGTATTGACTTCAACATGTAGGATCTGAACTAGGAATTGAAATCTATTAGATAATTTTACAATAGTTTATTCTTGCCAGTTTAGCTGTGTATTTCTTGATATCTGTGCTTTTCCTAGCCTAACAAAGCACAAGTTCTCACAGAGAATCTAAGCCCTCCCTCTACAGGCACTACAAAATAGCAGCTATATTCAGAACTAAACTAACATCCAGGCTTGAGGATAAATCCCTGTAGAAATTAGTGTAATTTGGCTCAGTTTCCCCCTAAATTATGAAAAGGATTGAAAAGCCACTATTGCTCCTATATAATGGCAATAGTTGTCAAATTCTGTTGAAACAGGAGAGGTAAAGTAACCTTAAGAGATGCCTGGACAACTCAGATTTTAACAATGCTGCGTCCACACTGCAGTAGCATGTTTGGCCTCTACATTTTGTGGTTATAACCACTGTTGAAAGAACTGTCTACTGGTTTGAGACCGTTGAAAGGGCAAAGCAAAAAAAAAAATCCAGTGCTGTGACTTAGGGATAAGAAAATATTGTCTATTCTTCCTCAGCCTCAAAGTGTAACATAGAAAATATAAAAAAAGGATGTATTTATATACACACAATAATAAACATACAATAGATTCACAAAAATAAACAAGCTCAAACCCAACCCGCATATTAAAAATACACAGTATTTTAAAAGTGAAGGATATGGCTGTGAATGAGAGAGTCATGAATGTTTGCACAGTGTATGATCTGATCATGATTTATAATCTAAGGCTTCAAACACAGGGCACTGCCTAGGGATTAATGACCAGCTGGGAGAGTTGATAGTGTAGTACAGAGCTAAGGATCATTAACTCCAGGTAGTTATAAACTCCCCAGAAAATGCCTTATACTAAAGTTGATATTGTAATTACCCATTTTATAAATAAAATGAACAGTAACATTGAAGTAGCAAATTGCTTTTGCTGCACCCCTTTTTCTTGCAGAGCTCTGAAAACTGGAGCATTCTGGGTGATGTGAACTTGGTGCTTTTTGAAAGTGAATTCTGCATGAAAGCCAGGGAAATAACACTTTTTAGCAGAGGTCCTACAAAAGTATGCAGTTTATTAGTATGTTGGGCAGCAGAGCAACAAGCAATCTTGCACAGAACACAAAGAAATTCTGAAGGTAAAATTCAGTGCAGATAACCTTGCGCAGGGAGACATGATCTCTGCACTGAACAATTAATCACCCACAGGAACTTGGGGTCAAATATAAAAAAACACTTTAAGTTAAAAAAAAAGCCCAACAACAAAACACCTCTAATTGCCACAGAAACAAGGGAAGTCTAATTGCCTTGATTTTCATTTGCAGATCAAGTGCAGCGCAAAGATCAGTAACACAAAGTTGGTATCAGATCCTCTCAAACAACTCCTGCCCTTGAGCATGAACCTGCTTTACAGAGGAGAAGTGTAGTTGCTGTGCTGGGCTAGGTCAAGAGCCCATCTAGCCCACAGCAGTTCAACAACAGCCTATGGGAAAAGCTGTCAATAAACCAGCATTAACCAACAGTTACAAGTATTTTTGTCTGACTACCATCTGGGAAAGGTTCCCCACCGTTCAGTCCCTGCATGATCTATCTCCTCTCAGGCAGAGTCTGTTCTTTTAGACAGAGTGATGCTCACAACTTAGTAACACCAACTGGAAAACTGAGTGAAGACTGGATTTCAAAAGACCGGTAACAGCCTCTTGAAGGGTCAAGAAATTACTCTTCAGAGGAAGTCAGATGGCAGGAATGCAGGGTTCAAACATCTCGTTCACACGTAACGCAAAGATTTGCTTACCTGTTCATTAGGCTCAAAGCTTATCTCTTCTTTTTCCGTCCTCATAGCTATCAACTTTGTGCTACTGGAAGGGTCTGTCTTACTGTCCAACCGCTCCAGTTTGGGGGGTATGTCTGGTAAACCAATATCTTTAGTATCATCTTTATCTAGCAAGTAGCGAAGTAGTGCATTATTATTCTTCTTAGGACTCACTGGCTCCTGTTTAACAGTCACCTCTGAACCAGGAGCTGTGCTACTGGACTCCTGGTTCAGTTCTTTGCCTGTGGCCTCTGCTGTGAGCTTGGCCAAATCTACAGGAGAACTACTGTCCTGCAATAGTCTGTGCAAAATTTTATGCTTCTCCTTGAGCGAGGTTCCATGTGTCGAACCAGACCCAGGCAACCCTCCCGTGGAGTCCTTGCTAACGTCTCCCATGGTACTGGACAAAGGCGAAGGCTCCATCTGATCCGATTTGGTGGTCAGCAATTGTAAGAGCTTTGTCTGGCTTTTTCCATCGTGCAGTTTATTCTGTCCATCAGGTCTCTCGCCACTGACAACTGGTGGCATGTTGCTATCGCTATTATCTTTCTGTTCTCCTGAATGGCAGCTGCTCTCTGCTTGTCCAGTTGTACCTTCTGATTGCTCCCCATACAGTCCAAAGCAGTCTTTAGAGTCCAGGCTTCCCATCTTGCTTAGCTGGGGAGGATTCATATTCACAGGGGAATTTTGTAAATTTCCCATTTTTAGGTCAGGTGAAGCCAACGACGATCCTAGAGAAACGCCGTGGCCCTCGCTGAGGGCCTGAAGTGCGTTCAGGGAACTGTTGGTGTAGTTATGGCTATTTCCTGTGCTGCTGCAGACTCCCACGGGTGAATGTAAGCTTCCTGCAGGGGAGAACTGACTGGGTGGGATGCGAGGACTTCCTGCCACTCCAGGGCTCACACGATGCCTTGGGGAAAGCATAGAGTTTGGCTGCCCCGGGTTCATGCCGGGGCTGCTTTGTGAGGGGCTATTCATTTTTAGTGCATAGTTACTACCCTGAGGAGTGGATGCTTGTATGCTTGACACATGGTTCATTCCCCCTGAACCACCGAACCTGCCTGCTGGCATGCCCATTTGTTCCTTTGGGCCATTTATGGCAAAATTTATATTGCTACTGATGGTCATATCCTGACCTGGGTTCCCACTGCACATGGCCTGATGGGCAGGGCTGCTGGAGCTAATCGGGTTCAGTATCTTCCCCATTCCTTGTCCAGTCAAATCCTGATTCATTCCACAGACATTCTGCTCTCTGTATGGCAGGGGGGAAGAAAACCAACCCATTAGATGAAATGATAGTGGCCAATTTGCAATTACATTACAGAAAAAAGAAGCAAAACCCCAAACCTCACTTTAAAATAACACAACAAACCTACAACTAAAATTGACAATTTGACAAAAGTGTTACGCAACTCTCAACATGGTTGCACATTAGCAGTATGGTTTTTCAGTACCTCATTAACAAGTCAGTGGCAGAGAGGAAAAACAAAATTATACCTCATTTAAATGACAGTCATTAGAAATGCAGATAGGTTACAATTTCAGACTCTCTCCCTTTAACATATATCTCTTCTCTACAATTCAACAAGAGCTAACTTCTAGAACTGACAGAATCTCATCTGAAACATATGATCCAAACAAATACATATTTTACAAGACAGCTGTGAACATCTGTTTGTTGGAGTTTTGAATATCTGTGAGTTAGCCCCACCACAAGGCTGGAGTGGGCTGTTTGCCCACCAAGTTCATAGTGAAAAAAAAGTTGAGAAAGTCACATTTCTATACTGCCAGAGTATTTCGATACTGGTCCAAAACAGCATGTGAGCCAAGAGAACTACTGAATATTGCTTCAGAATGGGAACAGTCTGTTAGCAATCCAGTCCTGCACTGGCGGTTAGGAAAAGAGGAGAAGAGAGAAAAGAAAAAAATCCACACACATAGGAGCTGAAACTCGTATTTCAGAGATGTAGGCTGCAAGATGGAGGAAACAGAAGAGAGAGACACACACACAGAGGAAAAGCTCTTGTGAGAGCACCTGAAGTCACTTCTCTTTTCCTCAGTAGATTTTAATTAGTTTATGGGAGGATGCAATCTACTTTTTACTTCTGTGCTAGAACTTAAATCACACATATTACCAAATGTTAAAAGCTATAAAAGAGACAGAGTCAAGTAGATTAGGAAGAAGGAAAAAATAAGGAAGAGGTTCTGAGAAAAATCAAATCAACTCTGGACTTACAAAAACAAATACTAACGGAACATTCTTAATATGCATTTTCAATGAGATGAAAACCATTCCTACTTGCACAGGATAAGTACAGATAAACCTTCGCATTTTGCTAAACCATGAGAAGAAGCAAAGCACACAGAGTACTGGAGCTTGTTACTCTGTATTTGTTACCTTAAGTATAGAGGCAAAGGTAAACATTAAAAAGAGAGATGGATTTTTAAAACGTTATTACAAATACAATAGTACCAGTGTTCTGCTAAAAAAAGCATGAATATTTGCAAGTACCATTTTTAACATAATGGTGCTTTTTTAAATTTAAAATTTAGCACTTTGTGAAATACCAAGTATATTCAGCAATCCAAAAAAAACGAATTTCAGACAGCTTTTGGTCAAGCCAATTTCCAAATCTACAATCTATGTAAAATGGTTTAAGTTTTAATTATGTTTGGAGCTGTTTTCTTCCTCTCAAAAAAGTGATACTGTGGATACAGGGAGACAGCATTGTAATTATAATCAGCAAACAAAACCTGAAAGAAAATCTGACAGAAATATACTAGGACATGCAATGACTTAATTCAAATTTTACATTGAAGTTCTGATGTCAGTGATTACTTATCCTTGACATTAACATATTATTGCCTGTGCATTTTTTAAAAAAAAACTAATAGTGGTGGCATTTCTCAGTACTGGAGGTGTGAAAGCCACTACTTCATGAACCATAAAAGACAAGGAATTAAGAGAGACAAGGAGTTAAAATATGCAGTTTGTCTAAAAATGCAGTTCTAATAATCATAACATACTAATTAAAGAAGACCCAGGCCAACATATGACTGACCATGAAGTACAGGAATTCAATCCTTCTAAGTTTTCTAGATTTAATTACATTTGGACAACTTCTTCTGTCTACTATGCAAAATACAGGAAATGAAAATACTGAAATTAAGAACATGAGATTAAAGGAAATTTTGTATGTTTAATGGAAGATCTCGATCCATCACGCCACTTGTAAGTCCTGAAACAATATTTACAGTCTTTTCCTGCTGTAAGCATTGATCTCAAAAACTTATTTTCTTTTCATGCTATCAGGTCCAGGTCAATTTAACATCTATCAGCCTTAAACAATCTGTTTTGGCAACTCTGTACCTTCCCTGTCTCTCTGCAAAGTGCGGATGCAATTAACCAGTCAGGATTACCTGTGAAGCATATGCAAGGAGATTACAAGCTGAGGTTCACTAGTCGTCTGAGAACGGATGAGCTTGCTCTTGGTTTGGGCAGAAACGATAGTGCCATCAGACAAGGAAAACCGATAAACAGGACTAAATGCTAGTCCCTGCCTCAGCACTGCAAGCAAGCAAAATAACAGACTTACATTAATGACAAACTATATTATAGGCACATTAGCTGCTCAACATCTGATGTTCTAAATCCATCAGCGCTGATACCACAGACACTGCATTAAATAGGAAAAAAAAAAAAAAAAGAAAAATTTTGAAAATAAATAGGTGGGATACATCTAAAATAAAGGAACTCACATACTGTAGGGTGATCAAAAGAAAACCTACAAGGAGTGACAGCAATAACAAGACAGAGTATTTCAGGAGTGGACCAAGAAGTCGTCGATTTCACTTTTCATCAAATATGTGTCTAACTCCTTTTGTTCCTCATACATTTGTTCATCTGTATCATCTACATCACAATGATTAATATAAATGCCCTTAGCTTCTAGATCATCTGTTTCCATTAGCCTGTATCTTTTCCTCCTTACTGCCTGCTTAAATTATCTTGTAATAGTTACTCTCACTACTTCTTTCATTTAAAAAGTACATAAATCTCTTACATGAGAACAATTAGAAGTAAGAAGAACTGGAACAAGAAATTATTACTTTTTAAAGAGCAAATACAAAAACATACAGCTAAAACAAATTACAAATACCTAAAAATTACCTAAACCAAAATTGGGGCTGTACTATCCTTCCCCAGTGTTAGATATGACTGCATTTCAGGTTTGGGATTTACTTCACTTGACGTATTCTGCAGCCCTTAAATTTTCAGTGTAAACCTGAACTTCAACAAATTAAATTCTCTAACTTCTGTAGACCCCTGTGACATTTCTCTAATTAAAAATTAAAATCATGCCATGGAAAAGCAAATCTCCAACCATTTATTCTACTGTTCACTTTTTGCCATCAATGAAACAAGTCTGATCATTTTCAATTCCTAGTCCAAAAGCCATTAGATTAGGATTGTAGATATGGCAGGAAGGGAATACTTCAGAATGTTCATATAGTTGTTTAGGGAAAATTAGGAACGAAACACTAAAAATATTTTTATTTCATATTTTTTAATATATACACATATCATATGGTTTTGGTGTGTTTGGCTTTTTTTTTTTTTTTTTAATTAATAGTATAATCTGATCTTCATTTCATTGCTTGCCTTTTAATATTTCCTGTTGTAATGAAATAATACAGTTTTCTGAGTGTGGCTTCATTAAATAGTCTCCTTTACAGAGCTAACAGATTTTCAGCCTTGCAGGACTGGTTATGATTGCTTTCCTTCCCTGTCCCCCCCACTGTTATATATTGTTCTGCAAGGTTTTAAAGTATTATTTAGGCAGTGAGAAAACAGGAAGCACAATTTAAACAATCAGAAGGGGGTTTTCAGAGTAAAAATGTAAAGAAAAACAAAAACCTACAACTGTGAAACAATACAAAGCAAAATTTCACTGTTAGGTATGTCATTGTTTCAGTTTAACCTTTGGGCACCAGAAGGTCCAAAGCTCTTAACTTTAGCATATACCACATCAGGAAATTCCAGCACTCAATGCCAACAGGATACAAGTGAAATCTCTACTTAAATCATTTTCCAAACTAATTCTTTAAGCAAACAAGAATGTTTCCGTATTCCTCTTGAGGAAATGCTATTTTTCTGACTGTGGCCAATAAAAACTTACCATATATTTTACACTTGATACTGAGAGTTGATTTGAAAGCTTTGTGGTTTTTATTGTTTATCAAGCTAGTGTTTATTTTTTTTTTTCCACACTGTAACACTGAATTACATGCAGGAGACCAGTACTTTCTTTTCTTCAATTCTCAAACCATGATGACTTAAAAAATGCAAGGAGTTCCTCCACCAAGTGCAAAGATGCTACTACCCAAGATATGCCTTGTTTTGCTTCTCCATGCTGCAGGGCAGGGGAGGGAAACATTTCATCTATTATTCCCCTCTAGTGCTGGATGCTTTGCAGCAAAGCAATTCCAGAGGTTTTTCCTCCTCCTATCACTCACTCTCTTCACTTCCACAAGAAGTAAAGAACCCCTTCATTTAGACTAATTCCACAGTTTATATGATGAACCTAAGCCTCTCCTGCAAAACGATACAGTGAAAACTCCAAAACATGTATATTTTTATCAATTCACAGACAGCTTAGGGAGGACCCACTCAAGCACTGGCACTGGCAGGAGAAGCTGCTAATTTGGTCAGGAATCATTTGAAGAGGACTGAAGTAACAAGTGGCTGGATGCCACAACAGAAACTCCTAAATCACCTTTGGCAGAGATGGGTCCTTACCTGACACTGCTCTCTAAACCCCTGCTGTAACTTTAATTGCATATTGCCTTCTTCAGTTATGCCCGAAATCACATCATAAGGCTGTGAACTTTTAGCATTCCTGCTGTATATACCCCAAAAAGATGTTATCTAAAATATCACAGTATTTCTGTGCCCCCACATTCCCAAAATGAAACCTGAAGGTTTCATGAAAGCAGAACATATTAAAAAATATTTAACTAATACTACATGACTAAAGAATTTTGTGTGTGTGTGTGTGTGTGTGTGTGTGTATTTGGTGGAATAATTTGAGATTCCAGTTACAATTCAGTTTTCAAGACAGCATGCCAGTTGTTTAATGACCATGGCAACTATTTGTTACAGGCCAGCTGTAAACCTTGTTCTACAAACATGAACCCAAAGAATGATGCTCCTGCACTGGAAATGTTCCAGTTATTCCCCACTGATTTTGAAAGGACTTTCCTGTGGACTATAAAGGGCTATTTGTTTTTAGTAATTTGGATCTGTGTTACTAGAATTAGCAGTATCAGTGTTTTATGAAAAGAAAAATCCCCAGTCACGACCACACAAACCTCATGGGGAACCTTCCACAGTGAGGTACTATCCTACATCCCTCCTATCATAATCTTGACTGAGTAGATGTACTTGTGGTGTATCCTATAACACTTATCAGATAGTTACACTACAACAATGTAGGTTTCAGACATTACCAGGGCTGCATCTTTGATCATTCACATTGAGTGTTTCTCACAGGAAATGTGACAGTAAAAGTCCATTTTTGTAGAAAAAAAGTATACAGGTCAAGGAACTGCTATGTGTGAGCTGAGGTTCTGAAGAATGACGGATAGTGAATATTTTGGTGAGCAACATGCAAGGGTCTTTCTTTCTAAAATGATTGAGACAATTTGAAGATTTACAACACTCTCCAATATGGCACAGTTATAACAATCAGGCTAAAACAAACTGGGAGAAAGGTGCAAAACCTCTCTAGAGAGAGCTGTCAGTGTGTTAGGCAAATCAGCTTGAAAAAGGGACTGTCAGTAGCCCTTGATCGTTCCATGTAAATGTAACAAAGAGAACACAACCAAGAGATACAAATGACAAACAGTTTAAATATAGAAAGTGCTAAAAATATGAAACCTAACCTTCCTGGTGATGCCTCTTGGCAAAAGATACTTCTCCCTCGTGCTGCGAATGGAACCTCTGAATGCATCTTCTCACCAAATCCTCCCAGCCAGGTTTCATAGCTGCTCGCATGGTACTTGTGTCCAGTGAAGTTATTTTGCCTGATATTAGATAAAACATTTGTTACAGCAATTTCCCCTTTGGGAGGGGGGAAAAAAAAAAAAAAAAATTAAAACCTCCTATTTCACAATACCTTGTAGATCCTGGCGAGTAGTAAAGCTCTCTGATGAAGGAAGAAGTGGTCTTTCCTTCATTGGAGCTCTTCTTGCAACACAAATCAAGCAAGACTGCAAATCTTAAAGAAAAAGGTTACTTCAGTAATTTGTACAGAAGGGTAAGATTTTGTTTCCACAAAGAATTGAGAAGTACTTTTAAAAAGTCCTTTAAATCTTTTTGCACCAAAATAATAGATTTTGTACCAATAAAAGGACAGATAGAACTCAGTGGTTTTACATCTTCCTTATTTCCTACAACATTAAACAACACAGGAAAGATGGGTTTGTTTTCATTTCTAGAAGAAAAATTATCAAGGACTCTAGCACGGTCCATAATTATTGGCATGTGTTTATGTGTATACCTGTAACAGCTCAATCACTCAGAAGATAAATAATAAAAAAGAATATACTGCATGCACAGAGAGCACATTTCTTCACCACTTACCGTTCTGTACCTTCTAAGCCACATTTCTGTAACATGCCAAAAATGCTTGCTGTCCCTGATTTTTACTTATCTGAATACTTAAAATACATTCTGAGTAAATTTGCCTGATGAAGTAGTAAATGGCAGAGGAAATGGTGATCCACAATTGTCTTCAAATTCTAAGAACTCGGAAAATTGCCCATTGAAACCTTCCTCCCAGTCAGCTCATTCTTCTTATAATTACAGTGATATAAAACTAGGATATCTCTTTAAGGTAAACAGAGTTTCTCTCAATTTCAACTATGTTAGTTTAACAAATAAGTGCATGCAAGTGTATACACTTATAATCCAAGATGAAAGTACACTTCTACAGTTAAACGAAAATGGAAAAAACTTCCAATTTTTCCATTTTTTAGGATTTAGAAGCCACTTTACCTCACCATCAACTACACCAAAACTGCTGAGCCACAACAGCATGAAAAGAGAAAATACCTTCACCATCCTCCTTGAAGGAATTTGGTTGAGAAACAGCAAAGCACTGCATAGTTTCATATTTCTGATGTGCTTCCTGGTTATCATGGCCTTCTTCAGAATCAGCAAGAGGTTTTACCAGCATCCGACAATTAAAGGTATGGCTATTACGCCTAGGAGTGTCACCAGACCAAGATCCCCCGTTCACTGAGCAAAGAAAAGATCATATAGTGAGATAAATCTGGTAGCAGTCATTTCTGCTGCTTATCCACAGGAAATTAATCAAGGTGCTTTGCAGACTGGTCGGGAAACAAGCTCGTTTAACAACAATCTATTTTTAATATTAGAGCCCAAACCAGCACATAACAAGGTAATTTATAAAACTCTCAGATTTTAAGAACACTGCTAATTTGTTCAGTTATCATGTTTTTTTCAAGTGACTTACAACAACATAATAGAAAAGCAGGATAAAAGTCTAAATATTGGTGCGTGTAAAAGTTAAGTACAGTGAAAAGCCTATTGGGTAGATCAAATTAATCTATGTGTCTGGAAGAAATAAGGCGGTATGTAGGATCTGTCCTACAAGAATTTAAAGGTGATTAACAAAAAAAAACATGGCAGCATTGTATAAAAATCTGTGTCCAGATTAGAAAGAGAAAAAAAATAAACTAATACGCATTTATGAAAACAGGAAGCAATACAATTGTGAGTATATTGAAAGACATATTCTCAGCTACAGATGGAAAGACTGAAGGGATGAGAATGACCTGGGTGCAGTCATGGATAAAACTAAAGCCTAACACAGTGCTTAAGACAAGTAAAAAAGGAAACAAAATCCTGAGATGCACAAATATAGTTACTGGACATCAGTCAGAGTGACTTTATGTAACACAACATAGGGAAATATTAAGGGTCATATTTAAAATACTCTTCGCTTGCCCTCTTCAGTCATAAAATGCAATAAAGGCAATAATTTATGGAGTTTAGCCATTTACATTTTTGATCCTTCAGGGGTTTGTAAGTAAAGTCATAAAATGCTAAGTGAATCACTTATACTTTTTAAACTGCGGTGAGTAAATGAGGTGACCAGTATTGACTTTCTCTTTCTTTTCACCTCCTCCAAAAACCAATGACATTAAACTCAATATTAATATGAATCCAAAAGTGGCTGCAACTAACAAAAACAGGTTTTGAGAGATAAGGGTAAATACTGGTGAGACTAAAAACACTGAAATAAAAATTCTAGCATAAGGTGTTTTCTGATTTTTCTTTTATATTTCCTGTTTCTTGGGCCATTCTTAGAATAACCAGCCTAGACAGAACTGAGTTCACATAGCTGTCCTTTAGTGATTCACTCTGGAGATCCATTAAAAATATCAGCTAACATGAGTTACTAAGAGTAATTTTAACAAAGAAGAATCTGAAAAGAGTGGAGGATGCTTTTGAGAATAACATTAATCATTCATACAGCCTATATATACATCAAAAATAAATAGAGTGTATACGATGAAATTTAAGTGGTGGAAGAACATTAACTTAAGTTATTGAAACACTAATTTATGAAACCAAAGTTAAATAAGTAATGGTATGATATGAGCAAAAGATATATACCTAAAGATTTTGGCAGCAGGATTTTGACAAATTCATTGTGGTCCCCTACATGCAGGATGCTATATATGCTTGTGTTCATCAGCTCTTCTTGGTTGTACCTTAGGTACTGTGTCACATTCTCAGAAACAAACACAACATTACCTTCTGGGTTCACTACAAAGAAGAACCCATCTAGGGCCTAAAGGGGGGGGAAAAAAAGCAGAGAGAGAGGAAAGAGAAAAAGAGAGAGAAAGAGAGAGAAACACAATACCAAACAATCAGATTAACAACAAGATACCCAGAAAATAAATATTCCCTTCAGAAGACATAGTTGAATCTTTCTGCATCCATCCCCGTTCTTATATTCTTGTCTGTAATAGTAAAGGACACATTTCAGATTGAGCATCTAATCTTACTTATATCAAACCAGTCTAAAAGCACAGAAAGGTGCACACCGTGTAAAATAATGAAACCCACACATGAAAACAAAACAAATCCCCTGCCCCAAAGAAACAAACAAAAATAATGGAAGGGGTCGCTACCTATCTGCCTGCCTGTGGAGTAAGAAATCTGGACCAGAAGCTGGTTCTGCTAAGCCTAGAGTCTGTTCACTCTCTGTGCAGCACAGGGAGACTGATCCCAGGAAAACATGACAAGATGTGCTGGCACAAGGCAAGGAAAACCCTGGCAGAAAAGAAAGAGAAAGGCTCTCTCCCCATTCCCAGTAGTGCATCTTCATAGAAGTGAGGACCCATGCAGCCAGGCACGTGAAGGATCAAAAGCAGAGAAGGGCAAAGAGAGTAGAGAGCAGGCAGTGATCAGCGAGGATGGGACAGCTTTAGACCCTCCTCCCAGGACTGCTTTCATTTTTTTTATTTGACACCAATTTAATTCAGTCCACACATGATTCAGTGGACAGGAACTAGACTTTCACCTCTTCAACTCAGCTCCACAGCACTCCAAAGGACTTAAAAGTTTCTGTGAGGAAGTGTCTAAATTAGTCATTTCTGCTGATTGGTTTCCCCACTTATCGCCTGTGATGGTGACAACCTAGCTGCAGCATTCTTTCCAAGATATCTGCTGTATGTTATCTGAAACCTAAGCCAAATACTACATCACTTCCACCTGATGAGGATAAAGTAAAAATTTGAGTATCAGTAAGAACTTCTAATGCCAACTTTCTTCTCCTTAAGATTCAAGCATGACTGTGGATGGTAGAAACTTTTCAGAATACATCCCTCTAACTTTATGCCATATGAGCAGATAATGGGGGATACATTTAATCTTAAATGTACCAAAGCTTTTGGTCTAAGCATTCAATTAACAGTTAGCCCATACAGACTTCTGCAGCTTTGCCTGATTTATTCACCTCTCTAAGGATCGGTGGGAAATCACCGAGGCAGTTGTTAGTTACTGCATCTCCAGGGTCAGAAACAAGTCAGAAAAACAGGCAACCCATGATTCATCATGGGTTAATTAAAAGCGAGTGGAGCCATACTAAACCTCAGCTCATCTCACTGCAAAACAATCTAACAAGGAGGAGCTGCCATAGCAAGCGTATACAGGCATGTGGCATTTTTGTTATGACCAAACTTGCATACTGTACAGCTTGCGTGTAGGTCTTAGCAGGCAGTTCTCAAGTCCTCAGGCTACAGATATGTATTAAAAATATTGTACAATACTGAGCAGTTAGCAAATCCAAACAGTACAAAAGAGGAGGCTAAGGAGGGATCTTATTTCTGTCTTCAGCCACCTAGCAGAAGGCTAAAGAGAAGACAGAGCCAGGCTCTATTCAGAGGTTCACAAGGAAAGGAGAAGACACAACAGACACAGATTGCAAGACAAGAACCTTCACGGAGATACGAGAAAAAAAATAATTCAGCATGAAGGTGGTCAGATATGGGAAAAGGCTTCTCAAAGATGCTGTGAAATCTCCTTCCCCACGGAAGAGATATTCAGACCTTGGCTGGACTCAGACCTGAGCTGCCTGCTGTGGCTGGAGCTGCTCGCAGTGGGAAGTGGGACCACAGCAGCTCCAGAGGTCCCTCCCAGACTAAGTTAGTTAATGATTCTGCTAAAGGTTTGGGACAGTGAAAGCACAACACACAAGTGGCTGAGCCAGTGGTTGCCAAACGTTTTGTTTGTTCCATTTTTAAATTACAAAATAATAAATCCCACAAATAAATGTACAAGTATATACTTTTCCAGACTGCCTCTAAATTACGATAAACTAAGTCTTTTTTTCTCCTGTTAATTGTCACAAATTCTAATCTCTGACTTAGTTTTCTATTATTTCCTTCTTTTTGTTTCTGATCATTCTTGGTCCCTCCTGTTAATTCACTGTCTTTGGAGAGCTCCCTCCTTTCCATGTGCTTTTGAAACATTCATGACATTTTCCTGTTGACTAGTATTTAGTTTAACTAACAATGATTTACAAGATTTAATTAATTGAGGCTCTAATACAATTTTCTGTCAGCATCTCTGCTATGGATTAGTGTCCTAGTCTGCAATTCACCACTGCTTGAAGCCAGTGTAAGCATGACCTCTTTGGTTTAGTCCTTTCTACATCATGACAACTCCCTGTACTGCCTGAGGATTTAAAGAGCTGGACCAGAGAACTGAGTTGGCTGAAAACTAATGCAAGGGAAAAAAAAAAACAAAACAAAACAAAACAACATGCTAGCTACATCAGTCCCCTGAACTAGCCCACCATGAAACCACGTGGCGTTTAGAGCTGGCAGAAGGGTGTGGGTTTGGCTGAACCATTCTGCTTGGCAGTCATCCACACTTACATCAATTCAAAGGGATTGCAAAACCAAAGCCATAGCAGATGTTTATCAGTCTTAAGGAGAAAACTTTCAAAGACAGAGATGGCAAGCAAGAGATTACGCAAGTACTGGCATCCCACAATAATCTTCAGTTTTCTCTGCTATATCCTACTGTGGCAACCTTTTTGGCAAGGAAGTGCTCTGTGCTGTTTCCCCACAGCTGCTCCTTGGGTTGACCACAGATGTGGTGATCTGAGCCTAGAGTAACACAGGGCTTTATATGCCAGTCTCCCATTTCTTTCTATTCTATTAATAAAATAATCTTGTAGGCAAGCAGCAGCAGGTTTTGGAGCAAGTTAATGCACCAAGTCACTTAAATCTTTTAGAAGCTTCCACTTTTGCAATGATTTCTTAATTCTGTCCCCAGATGTATGCCATCACAATAAACAACTTTTCTTCAGAGCTATTGGGACAATGGGGGAACAAATAATGGACAATATGCTGGAAGAGAAAACAAGAGAACAGATATTATTTTACATGATATACGGGAATGGAAAATACAGTTGTGTTCTTTGAGATCCTGTCAGCTCTCTCTTGACTGTTTTTTCACCCTCTCTTCCTATCCACTTTATGCTTTAACCAAGAAATATGTTAAAATATTCTTCAGAGGCAGCTGCATGATGCAATTTACTCACTTTCTTCAGCTGGGAAGATTCACTATTTTGAGGATTCTTCAGTTTTATTCTTTAAAAAAACAGTCAACTGTACTTCTAAACCAAATCAACAAATAAACTGTTCATCAGCATTGCCATTTTTATTATTATTTGGCAATGGAAAAGAGTAGGTTTTTTAAGAGTTTGTATAAAGGGGTTCTGTAAAGATGAAATAACTTAATTGCATTTCCTTAAGGAGATAAAGATACAAAGAAAGTATACGAAGTCTTTTCACAGTAAACGTGTAACAACTTTCAGTCCTTTAACGTTTCTTGGTGCAAAAGGACCACGGTTTATTAATTTAGTTCCACAATCTTTCATTGTTAATATGCAATGATTTTACTGCAAAGGAAAAGTAAATTAAATGGAATAATGGAACAGACGGATGATTTTACATATCATGTTTGCTGCAGTAGCCAATCATGCAAGAAAAGCCAGGAAAAAAAAAAATCACCTTATCCTTATTTTCCCTATGATTAAAAAAGGCCCTTACAATTAAATTAATAGGAAATTAAAGATAAATTTTAACATAGCAATGTAAGAGATGAATGTTTAACCTTGTTTGATAGCAAAAGCAACAACAATTCAGTAAGCATGTATAATAAATATTAAATTAAATCAATTAATTTGTTTCCCCCACTTTTCAAAGAAGAATGTTTTTACTCCAACCTGTCTGATCTTCCTTATGCTTAGAACTGTGATTTTGGAGCCTCTATTTCATATGTAGTACAGAAAACTACGTTTTTGTCTAACAAATAATAAAAACCAATTCAAATACTTGAAACTTTTACAATGTGTATCTTATTCCTGCAACATTCAGAAATGACAGAATAATTATGCTTCTGCCAAAGTTGTTTTTTTTTTAGCTTAATTCAGAGTTTGTGTTTTATCTAAAGTAACATTTATTCTTCCTTACAGATAAAGTCCAGAGTCAGAACAGGAATAAACAGTTTGCAAGTGAGCTTAAGCAGATAAAGCAGTAGTGCCAAAGGACAGTAGCATATGACATGAGGTTCCCAGATAATGTACCTACCCAACATTATTGTTAATACATTTAGAAGCTAGGTTTTAACCATGCAGTCTTTTGGAATATCAAAATAACAGTGAAAATCAGACAGAAATCTTAACTGAACAAACGGAAATATATGTCTCGAAAAGCTCTCCTAGATTACTTTCATATTCTAAAGGGAAAAGTCATGCTGTAAGTACTGAAATGATAAACCATTAAAACAGTATAGCAACGACATGCAATTTTAGAGGAAGTATTATTCACATGTATACTACTGCATATGTAAGTCAAGTCAGTGTTTAGGTACAACAGGTCTCCTAAATCTGTCGTGGTTTAGAACAAATAAAACACACACATGCAGATACCCAAGACTTGCTACCAACTGAAGCCCCTCAAGTTGTCTGCATTACAAAGCAGCAGAATTATCTCCTTTCTCTGCCTCTCCCCAGCCCAAGTTAAAGAGAATTTTATCACAGAACCCAATAGAAATATGCTGCCTGCTCTTAAATGACATAATCCTAAATAGCCAGGATGGCTCGTCTCTCTTGACCATTCTCTTACAGCGACCTCTGACTGCACTTTTCCATTTCATTACACTGCTCTTCATTCTACGGGGAGCAGAACTGGCTTAAATAAAGGAATTTTGTGCTCTTCACCTCAAGCATCATTGGTCCAAGTGCATCCTTGTCGATGACACTCTGACCCGTAGATGATACATCTGCTTTTTGCACTTCATCTTCATTAGCTGCTGCTGCTTTTTCTGCAATAAAGAAAACTATGTGTTAAATGACAGAGCAGTGCTCTCTAAGTGGTACAGTAAAAGCCCACAGAGTATTCAGACTAGCTGTGAAATGGTTACAGTGCAACAATTCTGAAAATGAAATTAAATAGCTTCCCATAATGATTCAACAGAAGCGTAACTAGCATATTTGCTTCTCAGGTTTTGGAAGTTTTATGACACAAATGAAATAATTTCTGCTGTTTCTGACAGATACTTTACTAAACTACAAATGTAACACTAGACAAAGACAAGGGCTGCTTATGAAGGCGCAGTGAGCAAAAGCCAAGATCAAGGTGTATTCAAAGTCTGATCTAGAAGAGCATGCGAAGCTCACAGCTGCACAACTTTTCCATGATCGCTATATTTAGAAGGAAAAACATAAGTCTGCAATCTACTGTTTCAGTACTGAGAAACACCAGTATCATTTCTGTTCCCATGCCCCCACCCACATTTTTACTATCACATAATTTTCATACTGTCTTATTTACCAATGTTACTAAAACCACATACAATTTCAAGTGCTGTATTTGAAAATTACAGGCAAGAAAATAATGATTTAAGGTTTCTGGAGCACAGTGCCACATATTACAAGACGTTATACACAGTATCAGAGATCATACTCAACTCCAAATGCAAGGGATATTCATACATACTGGAACTTTCATATCAAGAGGGTTTGTAATTCCTACCAAGTAATGGACTGTATTCATTTTTCTATTCCAAGAATTACATTGGTGTTTAAAGGAAAAGTAATAAAAGTAATAAAAACACTATACAAGATACATATTCTACATTTTAAGTTAATGAAACAAGTGATTTTTCTGTTGTTAGTTCTATATTCAGAACATTCTTTTATTTTTCGAACAATTATGTAAAAGGTAGGGCTACACTACAATCTAGATTATTAAAAATAATTAAAGATTTAAAAATTTTTAACATCACAAATAGATCATTTTAACAAATATGAAATCACACTGAAATTATGATAACAATCATTTACGCCTTCTACAACAATAAACCAGAAGAAGATTCACTGCAGGAATTACCATAAGTACCATGTGTGGTTGGAGCAAAGTGCCTTTGGAAAACCGCCCTTAGTGAAAATTAAAGCATCAGTTGTACAAATTGAAACGTACCCAAATGTACAGTATTTTCCACTATCTGTAGATCTGCAAGACGGCAGCCAAAGTTCCTCTGAACTCTTTCCTTGGCAGAGGTTATAAGGTCAGTGTGCATATACGCTGCTTAGACATACAGTAAAGGAACTGCTTCTGAGAACCCCTGGGTGCTCTCCTATCAGCGATCGATCACCTGCTGGCTGTAAGGCTTTGGTCACTTGGGCTGTCTCATCCTAGATTTCCATGGTTTCTTCCTTTCATGAAACTCTTAGCTGTCTTCTCAGGATATGTTCACACACAATCTAACACCATAGTGAATAATGATGAAATGTAATCTTTCTGTAGATGGACCGTTGCAACTAATGGAATAATTTTAAATCACTTTGTTTAGCATAATCTGATAGAAATAAAGACACTAGAAATAACTACTAAAACTTCCTCTGCCACTTAAACTCACCAGGATACAAAATTAGTATTTCTGGTTTGGACTGAGGACTCCTGTGGGATTTGCCATTTTTTTCTTTCTTTCTTTTCGTTCTTCTTTTGGCAAAAAGCAGAGATTAGGTGTAACAGGAAAAAAATTGAACAATCCTTCCCATACTACGATACAGCAGAGTTGACACCATATGATGATACGATACTGAAAACATGTTCTAAAAATTGTGAAAGAATTCTAAAAGATTATGACAATAAGGTTGAGCTTTTAACCAAGTCAGTGATGATATTCATTTTCCATCTGCTCCTCGTAGCATAACGCGATCCCTGGTTTCACACTGCAAAATATTATCATAGATACAGATACCAGCTTCCTGCTTTCATCCCCTCACTCCTTCAGCCGTTGATATCATCCTGAGTATCGGAGAACATGGGATTGTTCTCTGTGTGCTAGAAGTGAAGGGGCTGCAGATATGGTCCAGCAATGGTGTGCAAGCACATTCATTACATGGTGTTTCCTCATTTCACCAATTTACAAAGACTACTTTTACTGATTATATTTCACATAATATAAAACATTTGCTGAAGATTTTTTTTTCATTCTTACAACGACGGAGTTCATACAAGTCACCAATAACATGTAACTGTTCTCTTTTATGTACACAGGTGAGGTTTTATACAAAGAAAAAGAAGAAAGTTTTTAATTACTGTAACGGTAATCAGCACAGAAGCTGTAATACCGGGTCAGACCAAGGACCTCTCAAGCCTCACATCCAGTCGCTGACAGTGGCTGCTTTCCTTTGGTTCTCCATTTCTTCCTTTTGACCTTTTGATCCCCGACCACTTCCACTCCATTATCAGCTGTCCCTCACAACCATTCAACCTCTCTATTTGCTTTTCCCTTAAACACCCCTTTCCACAGAGGGCCCAACACCTTTGTGGGATCAATACACACAGTGCTTGCTCAAGAAAAAAGTATAACGAATGGAGAAAATATGAAAATGCTATTTAGACACAAATGTTGCCTACCTGTCTCTGTCAGCAATGGTGACATCATATGCTACACTACTCTTGATGTTTGGTTAGGCATTCTGAAAAGCTTTATAAATCACAAGTGCTCCAAAATTATGGACTTCAAAACTGGATCTGTAACTTAATTGTGTAAGAAATTAAGTGGCTGGAGATCTTAGAAAAGGCTACACATTCAGGCAACATGTCCCTATACATTTATTTAAGTGGCATTTATTTATTTCAGAGGCCTCAGCCAGCCTCTGAGTAGGACCAGCAGTAACTTATGTCAATGTTATAAACTGCAGCTACAGATAGTGCTCAACTACACAATAAACTATCAATTTTTGCGACTAAACTACAAAGCCCCTTGTGAAGATTCTATCAGCACATACAGGAAAAGTAAGTGCAAACCCTGTCAGCAGTGTCAGCCAGGCATGGGGAATGTCTTGAAATGCAAATCTTTTCTTCTGGGATACAACATGTGGGGCTAATTGCGAACAAAAACTTGTTGCAGGAAGGTTGGAAAAAAACAACTGGTACATGAATTCCGAGTTCCGACAACACTCGTGCATTTATCACGAGTCAGTATTTTTTCTTTTTCTTAATAGTTCCAGCTTCTGGTGTTAAGTAGTGGAGCAAAAATGTAAAGTTTACTTTTCCTCTTTTTACTTCTCCTATCTTTTTTAGGTTCACTGGGGGCCCTACAAACAAATCAAAAGCACAGAGAGTTTATTATTTCTACATTAGATTAATGATTTTTGAATGTTAGGGGTTAGGAAAATAGCTGCAGAGGCCCAACCTTGCAAAGCCTCTCAGAAGCCTTTTTTCCAGCCCCAGGAGAATCGCCGGTATTGCTCTGTGACTAACCACAGCCGCTAGATTTTTCCACTGCAGCCACTAACACGGAGCGCAGGAGCCGGTTCCCTGATCTCGCACCTTCCAGCGCCGCTGCCTCCTAAAACAGCGATGCCCCTGTTCAAATGTAAAATGCTGGGAAGGCGTTACCAGGCATCCGACTGGCACAGCGGCAAAAGCCGAGCGGGGGTTTAGTATGGAAAGAGAAACACAGCCTTGTGCCGGTGGAGGAAGTGAGCGGGGTGGAAAGGGGCTTCCCATGGCTGCACCTTCACATAGGGAATTCTCCACTGGAGAGGGAGCATTAAATTAGAAACCGATCCCATCCTTATGAATGTGGCTACCAGGGATCAAGCATATTTTATCTCAACTACAGCGGAATAAACTTCATGCACATGAAATAATTATTAGCTCTGCTCAATTAAGAGTTTAGCCTAGAGAGAGAAAAAAAATTAAATAAAATAGAAGTACTCTTGAGAGAGATACCACAAAGAATATATGCATCCAATTATGTAGCGTTTTAGTGATGTATGTAATTTAGAATTTAAACGGCGGGTATGTTTACAAGTGTATAAGCAGTAATATACTAAAATACATATTAATATTTTCAATTGGGCGCCTTACTAGTGATCATAAACTGTATTTACTTTTCTATGTTAATATACAGAAGAAAGAAGGGAAAAAATAGCCTTCACAAATATTTTCTGACAAATTTATCAGTGGGAAAGCCTCAAGCTTTATTTGAAGCTCATTCCAGATTCCGAAAGCAAACCTTTGTGAAATCACATTAGTTTAACAGAAATTTGTAAGTCAGAGAAAGAGAAGCCAAAAGCAATAGTTTGAAGTCTCCTGCTACATTTTAACTTAGGAAGCCTTCCTGGTTTTCCATCCTCCCAACTCAAGCTATGTCGGTTCTTTCTGGATTTCTGACAGCAGACTCAGAAGCGCTACTGACAGGCATCGCCTCCTCTTGGTTGTTTCAAACCCTCCCTTCCTACAGGTGGGCAGGCAGGACCAGCTGAACCACCCAAAAAGCTCTCTTTGTGTGTAATCAAGCTCTACTCCGACTTCCTTAATGAAGCCAGATACAGAAATATTTCCCCCTTAATGCTCTCTGCAAAACCAAAATGCATTTTTGAAGTAAAGAACAAAACCATAGCCCCTGTAGGGATTGCAAAAACATGAAGCGTAATCTGAAAGAGAAAATGTGCATCAACACACATTTAGTTTATTTTTCAGAGCAGAAACACTTAAGGTTCTTCATAGAACAAGAGGAGCAAAAAAGAGATGCTGTTGAAACCCTGGACAAGGCAGCACCCGTACTCTATGAACTGCTGAGGAAAGAGATCCAGAGAAAAACAATATGTAACAGGCAGAATCAAATTTATTACCCAGTACTGTTTAAAACAGGTCTGCTCAGGTGCCCCATATAATTCCTGTTCTTCATAATTTTATGGAATTGCCACACCCCTCTCAAATCATGTACCTTCATTTATATAATAGGTAAAAAACAGAAGCAAATAGATTTATTATAAGAAAGCTCAACTCTGCACATTAGAA